CTAAGGGGATGGTGCCCACTGCCTGGCCAGGGGGTTTCCAGCCCAGGACCAGGGATGATGGAGAGGTGTAATTGAAGCTGCACAGGTGGCTTTTCCTCGCACTCCTGCAAGCTGGTTCTGCTGAGAACTGTGACTCTTCGTGTCACTGCAGGAAACAGAAAAAATGCGGATGTCAGGTCTCTGCTTCTTGCCTTCCTGGTGTCCCTCCTTCTCAGGCTGCTTCAAGTCTGCCCCAGGCTGCTGCAGCCCTTCACCTGCGGCTTTGGAGCAGCCTTGGCCCACACACGCCCCGCCCACCTGCTTGGAGCTGCTGATGCTGGCCGAGAAGCCCCTCTCTGGCTGCCTACTTGCTGGTGCCACCCAGCAACCAAACACGAAAGGCAGCCACTGCAGAGAGTAAGGCCCCGATCCTTGGGCATCTCTCTCCTGGCAGCCTGCTCACTTTTCAGTTCCTCCAACTCCCCTGCTCACACCCCACCCTCTCTCCCCAGTCATCCCACGGTTCTCTTCCTCTGGTCTAACTGACCCCCTCCTTCATCTAACTCCTACTCACCTCCTAGAAGCTTCCAGAGCCACTCTCGCAGGGAAACTTTCCCTAAGCCCTCGCCCACCTCCACTTCCCAACCTCAGTCACAGTCATTCACAACTTCCTGTATTTTCTTTCCATTACTCTTAAGAGAAGTAAAAACTCATATTAAATTTTGTGAAGACAGTATGGGAATTCCCTCTCTTCCTACCCCAAAGCCTACGTACAAGACCTGAGATCAGGAACGGTCCGGCTCACCACAGCCTCTCCAGAGCATCTGGCAGAAACGGACGTCCACGCCTACAATCTTGGTGACTGACCGAGTGACTGAGTGATTGAGTGAACGCCCAGCTTCCCAGATTCCCCGGAACTGGCTAAGATCGCACCTGCCTCTGTGTACTAAGTGAGGATTGGCACACTGCATCCTGGAACCCCTGAGATCCCCTGTAGTCGTCATCCTGATTCTTCACCTTTGATGCCCAAGCCCTTCCTCCTTTTTCCTTGAACGCTTATTGGTTTTCCTTCCCCTCTCCCGGCTGTTGTATGAGTGTGGGGAAAATGTCCTTTTTGAAAATCAATTAAGAATGTTTCTTCCATTGTATTCTAAATGCCTGTGCACCCACAAGGATCAAACATATAAATATATGTCCTCTTCAATATGTGTGCAAATGTTTCCACCTTGACAGGCTATGGATGAATGAATACCTTGTGAATTGACCTTAGCCACTGTTGTGATGATTATCCCCAGGGCACCTCACCGTGGCTAGATGCAGTGTGCCAATCCACACTCAGCAAAGAGAAGAAAACACCATCTCAGCCGGGACTGGGCAATCCTGGAAGCCAGGCACTTGCCCATTCATTCACTCGGTCACCAAGATTCTGGGTATGGAGCATCCTTAGCTATGGCCATCAGGTGTTTCCGTCTGTGGTCTGTGATGAGCTCAGCACAGTGCCAGGAGCCCTGTGCACTGACAGTGCATGTGTGCTGCTGCTGGTATCCACAGGATGCGAGCCTGGCTGGCTCCTGCTGGATCATATCCCCAGTGCCAGAAGCTCAGCATTGAGCTTGGAGGCGCCAGTCATGCAAAGACTTGGTGGAAGAGTGTTCTGGGCTGATGTGCAGCAGGGGAAAGGTCCTGCAGTGGCAGCATTCTAGAAAGGTCAGAAAACAACGTGGCTGGAAGGAAATCAGGGAGGAGTGGGGGGGGGGGGGGGGGGGGGGGCAGGCTGGTCAAGCCTCACAAAGGAGATTAAGTTTTGCTCTAAGCAATTAGAGGTTTCTAAATAAGAGAGCAACATGATTGATTTACATGTCTGAAATAGCATTCTAACTAGGATCTGGAGGAAGGATTGGAAGAGGAAGGGGCAAGAATGGATGTGAAGAGACCAATTACAGTTCAGGTGGCCTTGCACAAGTCATTAGATCTCAGTTTCCTCATGCATAAAATGGGGATAAGAGAGGACATGCCTGAGGCTTCTGCAAGTTCTTGATAGAATGAATCAGTGCACCCAACAGACCATAGGAGTCCTTCCTCCATGGCTCACCATTTCTCTCCTTTCCAGGCAAGGAACTCCCCACATAATTCTCACGGAGTTCCATTCCTCTTTTGTAACAGACTTTGATGGTTTTGGCAATTAAAATTCTGAGACATTATTAATTAGCTGCTTGAGCTGTTCAGAGACACTCCCTGACAATTAAAAGGACATGTCATATAGAAGAGGCTCATGTCATGGCAACATATTTAGGGTTTCCTGTTGCTGAGAGCTCACTTTCTTTGAAGACGTGGTCTGCGGCCCCCAAGACAGCAGGCTATCAGCAGGAAAGACACCATATCTCAATAATAAGACTGCTGCTGTCCACCTTGAGCAGCTGTGGGTGCCTGGGAGGGTGGGTGGCCATAAAAGCCCATTGTTCTCTGGAAGAACTCCCTGCCATTCAGCAGGGCAAACCCACCAGGGAGTGTCTGCCTGCCTGGACCCTGCAGAGCAGCCACTCCAGTGCAACAGCTGCTCTGCCACAGCCCCGTTCTCGTTCTCGGTTCTCGTTTCTAGACAATTGTAAACAATTTTTGGAGCAGGGGCTCCTTCTCTTCAGACTCTTTGAATGTATTTTATGGAAATTGGGATGACTGGTTAAAAAGTAGGTTGCTATTTTTCTTTTCCTTCTTAATGTAGACAGTTAAAGTATAATTGTCAAAAAGGTAAAATTATGCCAGGTCTGATGACATGCCACACCCAGCGACTTGAGAGGCTGAAGTAGGAGGTTCACGAGTTCAAAGGTGGCCCCAGCAACTTGGGGGAGGCCAGAAGCAACTAAGCAAGATCCTGTCTCAAAATAAAATATATTTAAAAAAAAGGCTGGGGATGGGGTTAGTGGTTAAGCACCCCTGAGTTCAATCCTGGTACAAAAAAAAAAAAAAAAAAAGGTAAAATCATGACCCTCTTGCAAATAGAAAATGAACTTGTGCTAAAGATTTTAATCAACTGACTAATTAATGAGGGAACCATTAAGATATTAAGACCAGGTTGTACATCCTTGAGGAGTTAAGTATTCATAGGTAATTTAATTGAGGATATTAGAATTTGATTGCAGAGCTATTTATAAAACTAAAGTCCTACAAGGTAAGAAAATGTAGCCTTTCAGATCATCTTTCCTTATGGGACAGAAATCATTTGCCTCTTTAACTGAAATCTACAAAGTAGCATGTAGCTTGACGACTCTGGACCTTTAGTCATAGATTCTGAACTCTGCTCCCTTACATGCATCCTCTCGGCTCCCCTCATGAGAGGAGCACCTCATTCATGGGAAACCACTCACAACACACTCAGGGCAGGGACTCGGTGTGCATGCTCCCTGGGCCTGGGGGCTGGTCTCTGGTTTCTGGATGTCTTGATGTTCATTGTTACTGAAAGTCACCCCGGAGGGTGGGCAGAGAGTGGGTCAAAGAAAGCTTCCTTCTCCCCTGCTCCAGGGGCTCTTCTGTTGGTGCTGTGGCTTTTGACCTCCTAAAGTCCTGAAGCTGGGGCATCACATCCCTCAGCCCTGTCCACCCATCAACTTGACAAGTTGCTGATGAACACCTCCTAGGTGCCGAACCCTGGGGGTGCAGCTGGAAATAAGGCAGGTGCAGAACTGCTGGCCTGGAGCTCATGTCCGGGAGTGCAGGCACTAAAGAAGATGGCACACTCAGTGAGTTAGACACAAATGTGATAAGTACAGACAGGGGAAGATAGTGTGCAAAAAAAAAAAGGGTTGGGGGAGAACTATGGGAAAACTAATAGTTTGGGGGAAGGTGTGAGAGAATCCATTTTCTGAGGAAGTGACATTTAGAAGGATGTGTGGGATTTCATTGAGTGACTGCAATAGAGGAACAGCATGTGTGAAGGACTCAGACCCTCAGGAAGAGTGGTGCTCATGGATGATCAGTGAGGAATCGAGACCCAGGAGGCTGGAAGTGTGCGCAGGCGCGAGCTCATACAGGTCTCGAAGGTTTGCAGACTTTTGGTTTTCATCCAAAGGGCACTGGGGAGCCACTGAAGAGTGGTAGAGATTTGTGTTTCTGAAAACCCACACTCTGGGAAGGGGCCCTATGTAGTGAATATTCAATAGATGTTTGTTGAGGTGTGGAGGGACACACGCTGACATGGAGAAGGGCAGTCAGTGTCTGGTGGCTCTAACTCAGTTCCCTGCTTTTCAGTTTAATCTTCTAGACCCTCTGGCCTCGGATAAGTGAAAAAGTTCTATCGTCCCTCTGTTAAAGATTTCTGGTCTACCAAGGAACAGGAGGAAATTTCCACAGTAGGAATGGCCTCTCACAATGCGTGTGTCCAGGGCTCTTTAGGAAGTTCTAGCTTTTTGTAAAAATGAGTTAAAGGGGAGCACCTTTAACTGGGAGGCCAGGGAGGCCACCCCTTCTGATTGCACAGAAGCTGCCCACTCATAGGAAGCTTCACGCACCGCTGCACCGAGCCTTCCATCTTCTTCAGTGTGGTCAGTCTTGGACAGCTGGCCAATCCCAGGCTGCGGAGGGTAGGAGTGACAAGAGAGTGGGGGTCTGGACCAAGCACACAACTCCTGAGTCACAGTGGGCTGCAGCAGATTTGGCAGTTTGAGTCTGTTTCCCAGACAGGTTAAGACACTCTCCAAATCTCCAAATTTCCTTGGCAATTTCAAACAAAGAGCTGATGCCCAGGTAGCCTGGGATGCAAGGCCAGAGCTTCCACAAATTTAAAAAGGGCCATGAGGTTGCATTAGGGCTACTTGGCCTGGTCTCAGGGTACACAAAACCTCCCCTGAGAGCATGGCATTTCACCTGAGACCTCAGGGATACAAAGACATAGGCTAGGCAAAGAACAGGAGCAGTAGCCTCTGGGGAGGAAGAAATGGGAGAAACTGAGTGTGCACCAGGTTCCTGTGGTGTTGGAGTAGCTGGCAATCGTAATAACAGTGGATTCTTTCTTTCTACTCCTCCAGACACTGTTGGCCAGGGCTCTTTATGACAACCATCCTGACTGCTCCGATGAGCTGGCCTTCTCCAGAGGAGACATCCTGACCATTCTGGAGCAAAATATGCCGGAAAGCGAGGGCTGGTGGAAGTGTCGGCTGCATGGAAGGCAGGGCCTGGCCCCTGCCAACCGCCTCCAAATCCTCACAGAGGCCCCTGAGGATAGATCCTGTCCCCCATTCCCAGGAGGCTTGGAAAAAACCATCACCAACTCAGAGGAGACCTACCAGGTGCCCACAGTGCTGCCCACTCCACCCCCAGGCCCTGTGTATGAGCCGATGAAGAGCTGGGTGGAGGAGCCTCTGCCACCTGCTGCCCAAGTCTACGAGTTCCCTGACCCACCTCCCACCGCCAGAATCGTCTGTGAAAAGACTTTAAGCTTTCCAAAACAGGTAAGACTATTTCCAAATAAGAGAGATGAGTCAGGGGATGTGGGCTTCAGAGCCACTCAAGTCACCACTGTCTGTTCATCCAAGTGTGCCAAAGGGAACCTAGGTCATTGGTGATCATGACTGAGGAGCTGTGTGCTTGGCCCAGGACCCCACCCTTGTCACTCATACACTCTGCAGCCTGGGATTGGCCAGCTGCCCAAGACTGACCCCACTGCAGATGACGGAAGGCTTAGTGCAGCAGTGCATGAAAGTGCTGTGGGCATTCATGGCCTGGGGACAGCAGGGCATCACTGGGATCTCTAGTGGTAGTGATAGGTCTGGATTTCTGTCACATCCAAGTCAAGTGACCTACCACATTTAAAACGTGTATTCCCTTTCACCCGGAAATATTGCTTCTGGAATTGCTACAGGAGCACACGGGAAGGCAAATACTGGTAGGAACGAGGAGGCCCTGGCCTTCCAGAATCATTGGTATTAGGGAAAAAAAATCCTAAATGTTAGTGTATGGGAGGATTAGTGAGTGCATTGCCACAGCCAACTACCTTGCAGTTGTTAAAAAAGAAAAAAAGATGAGTCATTTCTATAAGGTGTTATTAAATAAGTAAATAATATTATTAATAAGTAAATAATATGATCAAAGACCAGACAAATGATGCCTCGAAGACAGTATCCTGTGTCCACGTACATGTCTAAGATCTGTGCCCCATCTCTGCCCACATGTAGGAAGGACCCAGAAACACACAAGGAGGGCTGCCCTCAAGAGGTGGAATTGGCTAAGGAGAAAGTGAAGGAACTTTTACTTCTTTCCCACCTGTGTCCCCAGCACCTGGCACCAAGCCTCGAATGGAGTGTGTCCTCCATCAGTGTTTGATGAGCAAACAGATTAGGGGGTTAATTTGCATGTTCTATGGAACATGTATGACATCTGTAGCTTTTATAATATCAGCTTTTTAAAAGCAGAGGAAAAGGAGCACTTAGTAAAAGCCAAAAGAAAACTTTATTATAAAATAAAGAAAGGAATGTGAAGCCCAGCCTGGGTGAAGTGGAAGAGCAGAATGCATTTGCAGCATCCGATGGCCTTGGACACTTCCTGCCTGCCACGATGCTTGGCTTTCAGCTCAGATGACACATCCCACCTGACCTCAGCTCTGGCAGGGGTCTTGGCAAGGTTTGTGTCCTGGAAAAGGCCACTTTCCTGACCTGTGTGCCCAGGGGACCCCAGGAAGGTGCTGCGCTCATCTCGGGCTTCCTCTGTATCAGCCTTCGATGCTGCCTGCAAATGAAAAGGGCTTGGTGCCTTCAAAGGTTTTGAATACTTCAGATTCTCTAACTTCCTGGGCTGCAAGGCGTAGGACCAGACAGTTGTTACTCAGAACAACTGCCACACACAGGTGCTGACTCCAGACACTAGGAGGAAGCTGGCTGGGCCTTCATGGGGTGAGCACTACCTTGCTTTTCTGAAACAACTGGCTGTGTCTAGGCCTGGCCTCTCAGCAGCTGTCAAAACAGCTGAGACGGAGTGGGGCCTTGATGGTATTTCTTCTAAGGACAAGTGACACTGGGTGATATTGATTTGAAATTCTTTCCAAAACTAATGAAGAAAAAAAAAAAATCAGGGGTCATTTTCCCCTCTCCCTAAAAGGAAAACAGATGCAAACCCACCTTCGGCCAAGCACCCTCTGCACCCAGCACAGTGTCTGGTGCTCCTCTATTAGGTGCTCCGGGAAACTTTTGCCAACTGAATGAAGTGACCCTACTCAATAGAATGCTTCAGAAATGTGACTCACTGCCACCTTGAAATTACATTCACGTAAAGGAAAAGACAAGTTACAAGTGAACTTTAACTCAGAGAGATGGTCAGGGCTGTAAGAGGGTTCCTTCCATGAATCTTGTCAACCATTTCCATAAAGCATGTCTCCATGCTCTTGCGGTGGTAAGGAGAAGCCGCAGCTACCCAGGGGAATTCAGGGCCTTTTTGCCACTGAGCAGGACTCAGCAGGTGGCCACAGAGAACCGCTGGGGAATTTTCCTGCTTTTTTTTTTTTTTTTTTTTTCCTTCTGTAGCTCCTTCCCTGTTTGTCCTGGCTGCATTCTTGCCCTTTTGTGTGTTCTCTGTCACCTAGTGGTCTGGCCCTCTGGCTCCCTTGGCTTCCTGTGCAGCCTGTCACTCAAGGACACTCAGAATATGACAGACCCCCTGTGTTTCTCTGTCCTCCTCTGGGTCAGGAGAGGTCAGAGGAGCATTTCTAAGGTCAGCTCCAGATGCACCGTGTGGTGATTCTAACTAACGTCACTTCCCCTCTGCTCTGCTTTTCTGCTCTGAAAAGGGTGGAACTAGCTAATCAGTTGAGAATGTTCCAGTCCACAGGAAAGGCACGCATCTCTCCCCTGCTCACATTACTGAGCCTTTAACCCTAAGTCTGAGGCTGCCCAGGAAATACATGTTGTTCCAAGTGGAAGCAGACGTTGGTAGAACCAGGCACTGGCTTCAAGCCATCTCCAGCGGAGAGATCACAGGCTTGGGCCACCACTTAGGCAAGTCATTTCATGGACTCAATTTGTACTTCTGTTGACCATCTCTAGATTCAGAGTGGCCCAAGGTTAAAATCCAAGGTGGTAGAAATTTGTCCCTATCCTCAAATTGTCCTAAGAGAGGCATCTACACACCAGAATCAGACATCTCCATAACTGGAAGAGATTTTTGAGGACCTTTGGATTAGATCAACTCTCCATTTTACAGATGAGAAAACTGATCCCAAGGAGGTGAAACTATCCATCCAACTCCTGCACCTGGGAACACAGAGCTAGCACTAAAGCTTCTTAGCTCTCTCCATGTTCTTCAGACTTCAGTGCCCCAAGGGCAGAGCCCTGTCCTCGCCATTCTCACCATCCTGTGATCTCCTTTCACCCTGCTGAGGCTGGAGCTACTCTTTCCATTTACCTCTTTGTTAAAGCTTCACCTTCAGGTCCTAAGGTCGTAACTCAGTCACTAGGATCAACCAAGAAATGGAACAGAACCAGCACTCAGAAGCCCTGAGCCTTCTCCCTGCCACTTCCCCCAGGGTAACCACCATCCTAAGCTTTGCTTTACTTTTTGTTCCAACTTCCTTAATATAATATATAAGCCTGACTTAAAAAAAAAAAAGAAGAAGATATTTGATTTTGGTTGAAATTCCCAAAAGAGGGGACTCTTTGGTATTTCAGCAAAGGACCAGATTTCCTCATGAAATTGCTTTGAGACCCACTGGTTCCTGAACAGGAGTTCCTCCTGCCTCTCTAAGCCTCTCGAAACCAGGTTTCTCAGACATGTTCCCAAATTGCTATCTGGAACCTACATTTTCCAAGAAACACTGGGCATTTTTGAAGTGGCATCCTTCTATCTCAAATGTCATTTTTAGGAAAGTCCCTCCTCTGTGTGTGTGTGTATGTGTGTGTGTGCTCTTGCAAACATGTGTGACCCATGGCATCGGCCATATGAATAAAATGGGGCTTTTTTTTTAAGTCCTGGGGAACAACGGATACGGGAACTGCATTTGAAAAGGGTCTGTAGTGTGAGAGAGCAGGGGCTGCCGAATAAACAGAGCTAGGAGGGAGGAGGTACAGAAGTCGCTGTCAATAGTGAGGGATGCTCCCGTGTGGTCCCTGGGCTTGGACAGTGCATGGCCTCTCTTTCCTAGTGAGGATATTGGATCCCCAATGGGGACCATTGATGATTTGTCCTGGACCAAACAGCTTGAGACCACTGGAGACACAGCCAGGTTTATTAACTGAAATGAAGAAAACTGCAGAATGAGGACCCTGTGGGTATCTCACAGAGGAAAAGTTGGTCTAGTTATGGGCTCAGGGAAAGGTGGGATTTAGTGAAACAGAATCATGGCTGTTTCATATTAGGTTCAAAGGGCTTAGCCCCTTAGCACAGGAATTCTTTGGTAACCATAAAGTGGAGACAGAGGTAGAATGCTGGGGCTCCCCTTATCTGAAGCCCAGAACAACAGATTCTGCTTCTTGGGTATGTAACTCAGCCCTCCAAGCATGAGCAGGACACTTCTTTCTTTCTTTTTTTTTATCCTTTATTGATTTTATTTTATTATTATTATTTTGACACTTCTTTCTTAATAAAGGTACTTGAGAGCCAGTGCTTCCCAGAGCCCAGGATTGGAGAACCTCATTTTTTTGAGAGTAAGAAAGCAGTCATCACTCAAAGAAGGGGCTGTTTTGACACTTGGCACTACACTGTGTCCTTGGGAGAAGTGTGTCCTGTTAGTTGACGGCCGTTTCAGCTGCACTTGTGATTGCAGCCTGATGAAGGGCCGGGCAGGTGTTCATGTCCTGAGCTATCTTTTACCATCCCGTGCTATCCACATTCAAATTAGCATCAGCACTTAACATGTGCCACCCAGTGCGTGGTCCGAGGGACACTGTAATGAATGGAAGGACCTTTACCTGGTCCTCACAAGCTGCCTCCTCAGCCTGCATTGTCCTCCCTGTCTCCACATTTCATTCCTGACCACCCCTAGGATTCAAATGGGAAAGCCCGTTACTCTGTGACAGATTTCTTGGGACCAGGGCAAGAGGTACATTCTCCTTCTCCTCTTTTCCGGCCCCATCTCACTTACCAACCTATGTCCTAGGTGTGTCTGGATCCTATTTATTTCCCCCTTAGGCCATAAGCCCCAGGCAGTGAGCATCTCCTACCCCATTTAAAAAAAAAAATCTCCATTCCCAGGCCGCTCCCAGAAATGCTCTGATTCGAGAGGTCTGAGGTAGGAGCCCTGGCAACTGGAATACTTTAAATCTTGCCAGATGATTTGGATCTCAAGCTAGGGGTGTCATCTCGCACTCCATAGCACCCAGCTTTATGCTCAGGGTAGATAGCAGTCGGCTCTGAAGGACTAGTTGGAACCCAGAGTTCCCGTTAATAGGTATGGAATCGGTGGCAATGTTGAATCAGTGCTCCTAGGAAGATGAAATCTGATTGTCAGTCCTGCTCTGTGTAGGATGCAAGCCCGCTCCTTAACCTCCCTGCCGCTGTTGACCTTCCCCAGTCCTCCCTGCTGCCCACCCTCCATCCCTCTGTCACTTTCAACCACTCAGATTGCCAAGGTCTTTTCTGCTTCTACTCACATCAGCAAGTGCTGTCATCTGTGATTCCTACTCCCCCAGAGGCCCGACCTGAGGCCTATTTCCCCAGGACCTTGGGAGTCATTCACGGACACTCTGAAAGTCCCCTCTGCCCATGTGGCTGGGTGTATGTGTGAGTTGCCCCATGTCAGAGGTCCAGCCCAGATCCCTAGAGAGCTTCAGGATCACTAGGTCCGTTTATTTCCACTGCACCAGAGATTTACCAGACGTGGGGCCCAAGATTCTGCATTCTAGCTGTTTCCCAGGGCAGGCAGCCTTGGTCCACCCCTTGAGGAAGCCTCTCCCCCACCAGGGGGCCACCCCCTCAGCACCCAGCTACTGCCAGTCTCCGGGATAAAGCATCTGCCACTTAGCAGTGCTAGAATGACACTCAACAGTGCCCACGAGCTGTCTTCTCTGTTTGGGAGATAACTTTGAACATGACCATGTGATCAGTTTAACATTTCCTTTCCCTTGACACCCTTCTTTTTCTCTCCAAGACCCTCTTTGTGCTTCCCAGACCTTCGAGGGCCTCGCTGCCAGCTCTGCCTTCCCAGGTGTACGACGTGCCCGTGCAGAGCCGGGTCCCCTCAGCCCTTAAGGTGAGCCTTGCGTCGTGGTGGCCCCACTCCCTGATCCCCCAGGCCTGAGCTGAGTGGGGTCTGGGCGTCTCACAGACAGCTGATTTCAGCTTCCCTGAGGGAGGCCTTCAGGGGCTTCGGTCCCCTAACTCTGAAGGTCATATCATCACTGAGAGGCAAGCTTTGCAGGATCCAGGCCTGCTGGGGAGAACACTGTGGCTATTGGAATTCCAGACATTTTAAAATTTTTACTTTTCATTTGTAATAGATATTTCATTATGAATATAGACACCTACGCACATACATTTTTAAAGAGTAATATCTTTTTGGCAATGCTGGAGACCCAGCCCAGGGTCTCAGAGCATGTTAGGCAAGCATTCTATCACTGAGCTATTTATTCCTGAGCTCCTAAAAAACAGTGTCTTGGAGGATATGCATCACAGTTTTTTTTAAAGATGTGCTGAATTTGAGGTGACTTTTTTTTTTTTTAATATTTATTTATTTATTTTAGTTTTCGGCGGATACAACATCTTTGTTTGTATGTGGTGCTGAGGATCGAACCCGGGCCGCACGCATGCCAGGCGAGCGCGCTACCGCTTGAGCCACATCCCCAGCCCTGCATCACAGTTTTAAGGTTGATGATCTTAACATTGATCATTCATTATCTCTGGGGGAAGAAATTTTAGGGTTTCTTTTTTTTTTTTTTTTTTTTTCAGTATTGGGGATTAAGCTCAGGGTTGCTTTACCACTGAGCTACATCCCAGCCCTTTTTATTTTTTTATTTTGAGACAGGGTTTCACTAAGTTGCCCAGTCTGGCCTCCAACTTGCGATCTTCCTGCCTCGGCTTCCTGAGTTGCTGGGATTACAGGCGTGTTCCACCACGCCCGGCAAGTTATTATTGTTTTTTTAACTTACTTGTACATAATAGGCACATCAAAAACAGCTTCGCTCCTTTCTCAGCTCTCAGACTCCAGCACATATGGAGTTACCGGCAGCTTTCCCAAGTCCTGCTGCCCAAGGCCCATCCCCAGAGATTCTGCCCTGTCAGGTCTGGGCTCAGGCGTTAGGACTTTCAAAGCTTCCAGGAGATGCTAATATGCAGCCAGGACTGAGACCACAGCACTAGCCTAAACAGAACTTGGAGCAGCTCTGTGACTTCCTGGTCACTCAGTTAAAAGAAGTCACTTTGGTGTCCCCAGTCTCCATGGGGAATTTTAACATCCCATCCAGGCAATAATCAAATGTGCATTCATTTCAGGCCAAAGTTTCTGCCCTCGCTTCCTGCCTGCTTGCTGGGCCTGGTTTCCAGCAATGGGACCTCAGGATTGACCAGGTTCTCTGCTGGTTCCATGGCTCAAGGTCTCCATTCCCCTCCCACTCTCTGGGAGGTCTCAGACTCTTTCAGGGCTTCAGGACACAGGCAGGGAGAGAGGACAGGAGAAAGGCCCTACTGACTGGCTCTTCTGGGGACATGGTGCAGGTGCTGAATGCTGGTGGCAAGTGTTCAGGCTGACTCTCCTCTGGGGCTGTCCCCACCTCCTAACTGAGCACTGCTTACCTGCAAATCCCACCCAGGGAGCAAATGCACCTGCTCTGGCTGGTGCCTCTTCCCTTAGCCCCGAGGCAGGCAGGTTATTTCCAAAGCATCCTCCTGAGATTCCCTTCCCCATCCTGCCCTGCTCATGCTCAGCTCCCATGCAACCCCAGTTGGGCCATGGAAGCACACATGCTCCCGTTGCCAAGATGGACAAGGGAGCACCAGCATCTCCCCGGGTGTAAGCTTCTTAAATGAAGACACACTTAAATCCATGGCCTCACTTACCTTGCCCTAATCCCCAGCCTGTCGGGTCCTGTCTTTGTTTAAAACGTTGACATTTCATTCATCATGATTTTTTGCATTAATTATGATTTTTAAATACTTGGCCTAGATGACCGAGGGTTTTGGTGCCCCTGGATGCTAGGCCCAGAGCAAGGGATGTGCTTTCTTCACTCTGGTCCTGAACCCAAGGACAGGCCACCATAGCACAGCCACACTCTGCTTGGTTGTCAGCCTCTAAACTCTCCAAAGCCAGAGCCAGCCCCCTGCACTATGACTCCATGTTGAGGGCATAGTCATCAAGTCAAGTCATCAAAGGATCCTATTGGAACCCTCAATGCTTCACTTGTGGAGGGCACTTGTCCCTAACCCCGAAGGATTTGCAGGAGACTCAGCTCGATTCGGCAAAGAAGCCCTCTAATACCCAGCTCTTTCCCTCTTTCTTGGCAAAGCCTGTTCTGGTGTTGCCTTGCCTTAGAACTTGGAACTTATTTTTTACATCCTAATATACACATATTCTGATCACTGTATACGTTTTTCATATGTAACATAAAACATTTGTATCTCAAGCCTCTGGAGGAGCCTGGCAGGGGAATGACAAGCTCAGCATCTGGCACTCAGTAGGTCTTCAGTAGGATGCACATTTTTCAAAGGGGTAATCCAAGCTCTCTTTTTATTGCTCTCATCACTGTACATGCACAGTTCCACCTGGCTCGACGTAGTTAGTAGTCACTCGATACATATATTCAGAATGACAGCATGAGTGACAGGAGAATTTCTGTTGTGAAAAACAAACAAAAAGATGTATTAGGCTCCCATGTCATTGTCCCTTCTGGCTTCTTTCCATCCTAAGGCTAACTGCCTTTAGATGAGTGGCCAATTTCAGTTCAGGTGACTGCAGTTAGCTCTGTACAGCTTCCCTCAGTCCTTGGGGAAGGAGAGCCCTATACATCACCACGTCCAGTGTTGAACTTTCATCCATTGCAGCACATGGAAGAGCACCATGACTGACAGCCCCAAAGTGTTCAGGGATTTGTTTCTTTCATTGGAAAAAAAAAAAACATTGGAGAGTGGAGAGTTTGTGATGATAGCCATTAGGAAGAAAAAAATCTAAGTTGTCCTCCTCTGCGGTCTTTCCCTAGGAGCCGGAGAAGCAGCAGTTATATGACATACCGCCCAGTCCCCAAAAGGCAGCACTCCACCTTCCAGCCAGCCAAGCAGGCGTGAGTATGAACAGGTGCCGAGCTGTGGTGCCGTGGAAGCCTAAATGTCTGCTGGGAAACTTTATTAGCTTGATGTGTCATCAGCTTTCCATTGTTGTGACAGAATACCTGAGGTAAACAACTCATAAGGAGGAAAGGTTTATTTTGGCTTATGGTTTCAAAGGTTGAGCCTCTGGTCAGTTGGCATGTTGCTTTGGGCCTGTGGCGGCACAGTATACCATGGAGGGAGCACAGTGGAGCACAACCACTCACCTCCTGGTGGCCAGAAAGCAGACAGAGGAAGAGGAAGGCACTGGAGTCCTAATATCCTCTTCCAGGGCACATCCTCAGTGACCTCACTTCCTCTAATTAGGACCCATCTCTTATAGGGCCCCACTACATCACCTACCAGCGGCACCACCGGCTGGAGAATGAGACTAACACATGGGCCTCCAAGGGACTTCCTAGATAAAAAATCAGTATGCAAATTCTCCATAACAAACCTTACTGTATTTTAAACAACAACAACAAAAAAAACTTAATTGCACTGGGGTTCAGGAATAGGATGTGGTTTGAGTAAGACTTAGCTTCTTCATGCCTCAGTTTTGTATTGCAGATGTATTGGAAGGATTACATGGGATAATCCCTGCAAAGCACCTGCTAGAGTGCCTAGCACAGAGCAAGAGCTCAGCAAGTGTTAAAAATCACTTCTTCTTGTGAGAGACCTCAGGGATGCACTGCATTGAAGTATGCTTCTGTGTGTGTAGGGGAATTCATCACTGGATTCGACTACATGCGTCCCATGGATATACTTTTGTCCAAAGTTATTAGGGGTGGCCTTACAAAAGAGGTGACATTTCAGCAGTGCCATGAGCAATATAGAACATATAGTAGATGGAAAGGAAAGAGTTGAACGGGCAGTTACAGCAAAGGGACCCGTTTTGGCAAAATTTTAAATATGGTGGTGTGAGTGTGTGTTCTGAGTTCAGGTGAGGCAAACAGTCCAGGGGACTGGACCTATAAGTACAGGGTGGAAGATGGTGGGGGCTGGAATGTTGAAAATCAAGAGAAAGGAGGCTCAAAAAAAGGGGAGGGATCGAGATTGTGAGGGGCCTTGAGTGATAACAGTGATGGGGAGCCACAGAAGGGACTAGAGAGAGGAGAAACAGTCAGACCTGAAGGGTCAAGTAAGCCCTCTTTTTATTGCTGCTAACATGGGCGACTACATGTGGTTCTTCCATAGGACATTCCTCTGAAACCAGCCTTTGGAAGAGAGGGCTACAGCACATTGCCAAACCCTCAGAAATCAGAATGGATTTATGACACTCCAGTGTCTCTGGGCAAGGCCAATGTCAGAAATGCATCTCTAGCCAGCTTCGCGGAAGAAGCAGGGCCAAATGCTGTACCCAGTTCGAGCTCTACTTTCCACAGACCTCCAGATACCAAAGTCAGGATCCTCCCTTCACAGCCAGGTAAAAAGGTGCCCACGAAGAAGAATCCCAGCCTTTCAGATGTCCCTTCCTACACCATCCTAGTGCCCAGGAACACACTCTCTTCAGATGCAGGCGCCAGCTACAAGGTGCCTTCCAGCTTTCTGATTCCCCGAGTGGAGCAGCAGAACACCAAGCCCAATATTTATGACATCCCTAAAGCAATGCCAAGTGCGTCCCAGGCAGGGAAAGAACTGGGAAAAGCCAAGGAGGCTCCAGAGAACCCCCGGGGCCACAATTCCTTCGAGTTCTCCAGACGAAAAACTTCCCTATCTCCAGAACCGGACAGGTCATCCATTGCCAGCTCGGACAGCAGAGCCAGTGTGGTTTCTTCCTGCTCCTCCATGTCAACTGACTCCTCCTCTAGCTCCTCCTTGGAGGAGTCAGCCAAGGAGCTCTCCCTGGATCTGCACTTAGCCAAAGAGACAGCAATGAGCCTACAGCACAAAGTGGTCAGCTCTGCAGCAAGCCTGCTGCTCTTTGTAAGTAGGAAGTGGAGGTTCCGAGACTCTCTGGAGGCCAACATTGATGGGATCCACAGGGCTGCTGACCACATAGAAGGAGCTTTAAAAGAATTTCTGGATTTTGCCCGAGGAGTTTATGGGTCTACCTGCAACGTCACTGACAGTCATCTTAGGGCCAGAATTCGAGATCAGTTACAGACAATCTCCAATTCCTACCAGATCCTGCTAGAAGCAAAGGAAAACCTGGACAGCTGCAATTGGTCCCTCGAAGTTCTTGTGACAGACAAAGCTCAGAACAGCCTCGATGACCTTGAGAGGTTTGTCATGGTGGCACGGATGGTTCCGGAAGATGTCAAGAGATTTTCCTCCATTGTCATTGCCAATGGGAGGCTGCTCTTTAAGCAGAATTGTGAAAAAGAAGAGACCATCCAGTTGTCCTCAAATGCAGAATTTACGTGTAAAAAATGCATCCAGCTTCCACAAAGAGAAGTAGAATCATACCAAAAGAGTACTCCTTTTAATAAAGCAAGGGAAAACTACCATTCCCCTGAAGTACTTAAGAAAAATGGGACAAGTGCCTCTGAACAGGTGAGTTCAGAGGTCCCAGTGACATAAAGTAGGTCTTCTGATGTCGTCCAGAGCCATCACCACTAAGCGAGGTGCCGAGAAGCTCTACTGATAGCTCTTAGGCTCTCGCAAGACAAAGGTTCCATTTCCTAGAGAATAAAATGCATGAAAGCAAACTTCTTGACAAAATCTTGTTGGATTTTAATATTAAGCCAGATAGATCAGTATATTTGGATTTTCTCTAAAAAATTTTGGGGGTTCAGGTTTACCTCTGATCCTAGAATTAGAAAGTATTTTTTAAATCTTTTAAAAATGTTTGTTAAGTTTTGCCAGACACAGTGGTGCACTCCTGTAATCCCAGCGGCTTGGGAAGCTGAGACAGGAGGATTGCAAGTTCAAAGCCTACCTCAGGCCCTAAGCAACTCAGCAAGACCTGTCTCTAAATAAAATACACAAAAAGGGGTGTGGATGTGGTTCAGTGGTTAAGTTCCCAAGTTCAATCCTGTTACCAAAAAAAAAAAAAAAAAAAAGTTTATTAAGTTTTAAATCTTGCCACCAAGTATCCTCATGTTTTTGAAAGTTATACATTTTGTTATCATCAGCATGTTTCATAGAAAAAGAAGTACCCTTCAAACATTCTTGTATTTTTGTTTGTTTTTGTGGTTTTGGCTGTGCTGAGGGATGAACCAAGGCCTTGTGCAGGCTGGGAAAGCACTCTGCCAACTGAGCTACACCCCAGCCCCCATTCAGACAATCTTCTGAGTTGTTCCAGGTCTGATCAGCCTCCACACTCCAGTCCTACCTAGGAACTCTTGTGGAGCCTTTAGACCTTACAAGAAGAGGACGTTGAGTTCAGAGGTTGTAGCCAAGAGCCCAGTGGGCACCTGAGAGCTGTGTGGAGATGGTTTGACTCTTTGGGTCCCAGCCTTGGGGTTCTGTTGACATGCCTGATGATGTAACAGCTTTAACATATTCTAGAAATTTGAACATCTTTCATTTCCAGGTAAATTTTTTTAATTAAAAAATTTTTAATTAAAAAATTTAAACATAATTTTTTATGGGTCATTACATTAGGCCTTGTTGGTTAGCCTTGGACTGCCAAAGTCTCCTTTGGTTGACAACAGGTGTCAGTAGCAGAACCAGGAATAGCAGTACAGGTAGGAGCACTCGAGCACTAGCCTGAACTGATGCAGTTTGAAATAATGAAAAACCATCCAAATTGTATTTTATTTTTCAGGCATTACCTAACCTAGAAGAAAAAGAAACACGCATCTTGGAAGGAAAGTTAGAAGAAGACAAAGACTTAGATACAATGGTAAGCTGTCTTGCTCACTCCCCAATACCTCTGGTTACATGCTTTGTCCCTAGACACATTTCATCATGCTATAGCAATCTCATCCTATAGCCATGACCCACTTGGGGGAGATCTGGTTTTCTCTTCTTCATAGTACAAAGAACCCTGGAGAGCTCTAGTGTATGTATCATGGCCCTTAACCCTGACCACCAGGGAAAACTGCAAGTTCATCATGGGCGGGTCCAACATGGCATTAGATAACATGGTCACATTCTCTGTGATGTCACCAATTAATGCTTCTGATTACAACAACAAAACCCACTTTGGTTTGAAGTTCTGTCTTCAACACCTCTTCGACATCTCCTAATTCTTTTTTTTAATCAAAGATGTTATCATTGTGCTTATTGTTATTGGTCATCTTCGATTTGTGGCAAATGACAATAGTTTTCCAATTCCAAATTTTGAAATTTTCCTTTAAATTATTAAAGTGAAAACAATGGGTCCATCCAGAGACTCAGTGTGAAGCCAGCAGATGTCAAGAGGGAGGCTGGCTGCTTGGGAAACAGTGAACCAGTTCAACAGCCCAGATTAAGGGGCATGCTAGGTGGGGGGAGGGTGATGCAGACAAGATCATGTGCCTTCTCTGAGGCAAAGAGGGGCAAGAACCCAGGCTCAGTTACCCACACCCCAAATACTGAGCATCAGGCCTTCTGTATTGCTAAAGGTCATGCTGTCCTTTCAAGGCAAAGTATGCCTTAGACCAGAGGCCACCCAGCATGACAGTACATCACACTTATAAGGCTTGCTGAAACTCCGAGTTTCTGATTAGGTGGGCGTGGGTGCAGAGAATCTACCTTCCTGACAAGCCCCCAGGTGCTCCTGATGCTTTTGGTCCAGGGACCACCCTGGAAATCCCCTGCTTTACACGGACAGTGCTTCCTCAGTGGGAACAGGGTGTCATTGGCCACAGGGGACCATGCTCTGGGTGTGGGAAGCCCTGGTGGCACCCCAACCCCTGCCCACACACTGCCTGCAGCTGCCTGTCCATAAGAAAACAACTAGAACCACCTCTGCAGGCTCCACACCCGGGTCAGGAGCCAAGGTACTCTCTTCCTTTACCTACAGTTGGTACTTTTAAGATAGATTTCCTGGCTCATGCTTCTAACCCTTCTTCCCATCCTCCCTGCTCCCAGAATCCTCTTAACCAACACCCCATCCTCTTTTCACTTCATACTAAAAAATAATCATTGTCTTCATTTTCCAAATATGAAATCATAGAAATGAATAGATTTCTCCAAAGTATGCCTTGCTTCTTGTCTGACTCCCCCTCCACCAGCCCTGAGGGACATAGCCCCTTCTGACATTCACTTTGCGGGTCCTTTCTGATGAAGTGCTGTCATCGGTAGACAAGAGAGGGCAGAGTTTGAGGGAGAGAGTCTCAGACTTTGCCATTTGACTGTGAGCTCCAGCTGAATTTACTAATTGAATGGCCCCTGAGTTCAGTTTCCTCACTTATTAAAAAAATAGGAGGGCCGGGTGTATGTACCTCACTGGTACAGCACTCGCCCAGCTTGTGCAGAAGTCCTGGCTTCAACCCTCAGCACTGCAAATAATAAAACTAGATTAAAAAAAAAAAAAACCCTAAGCTGCCTTGTAATGCTACCCAGAGTGACCACCACCAACTCAGGTGCTGAGAATCCTCCGATGGCATATGGGAGACACATTGATCCCATTTTCCTGAAAGTAAAATTTTGATGAGACCTTAACAGCAAACAAGGTGAGCATTTTCATATTAAGGTAGATAGGTCAGTATATTTGACCCCTTTCACTGTACCTTTGGTCCTGGAATCAGAAAGGATTTGTAAATGTCTTAAAAGCTATTCTTTGGGCAAATTTTAAAAATCTCACTGTCAAGTTTCTACATTTTTGGTGTTGTTGTTATTATTGTTTTTTTCTTTTCCCTTTTATTTTTTCTCTTTCCATATTTTTATTGGTGCATTATTGTTAAACATAATAATGTTAATTGTTGTTACATCTTGCCTTGCACATGTTAAGCATATGCTCTATCACCAAGCTTCAACCCCAACTCCTTCTTGCACTTTTGAAAGCTATAAATTTAGTTATTGTTCTCATGTCCCTTAGAGTGAGTTTCTTATGGTCTACTGATGGTCGAATAAAATTATATATAGTATGTATTATAATACATAAGATTACATATACTATGTTATAATATATGCTACAGCGCTTTGGAAACATTAACATTATTTTCTTTAGACGTCCCCAAAAAACTGTGTCTTTTCTTCTAAAATGCCTTGCCAATCAAGCAAAAATAGAAAGGGAAGATAACCGCAGCTTGCTGATCCATCTGTCTCTTACCTGCTTCCTCCTTCTCTTCTCTAGAATCCTGGCTCTCTTGTAGCCCAGCCTTTGACTCAGCAGAACCCCGGGAGGAAAGTGCACCTCTCTGAACACTGCCGTCTCTATTTTGGGGCACTCTTCAAAGCCATCAGTGTATTCCACAGCAGCCTCAGCAACAGCCAGCCTCCAGAGATCTTTATCACTCAGAGCAAGCTGGTCATCATGGTGGGGCAGAAGCTGGTGGACACTCTGTGCAAGGAGACCCAGGAGAAGGATGTGCGTAACGAGATCCTCTGCAGCAGCAGCCACCTTTGTGGGCTGCTGAAGGACCTGGCGCTGGCCACCAAGAATGCAGTTCTCAAGTACCCGAGCCCTGCAGCCCTGGGGCACCTCCAGGCTGAGGCCAAGAAGCTGGAGCATCACACACGACAATTCAGAGGGACGTTGGATTGAGGCACTGCCGCCTCCTCCCTCCGGTTACTTCTTAGCTTCTCAGCACAACTTGGGCAACTCTGTCCCCTGGGGAACGCTGCAGAGCATACAGGATGGGCCACAGCAGCCACTGTGCCCAGAGCCTGTAGTACAAGCAGCCGAGCAACTCTAGGACACTGGCTTACCCCCAGTGGGCAGGAAAGAGAGCCAGGCATTATGTAAGGACCTTATGAGGAGGACGTGCCATCTAGGGTATGCAAAGTCACTGTTGGAAGTAACAACGAAGAAATCATTTCTATGTTGGTTAAATGTGTATGTGGTTTACATTCATTCATTCAGCACTTATTTATTGGGCACTAACTATATGTCAAGTTCTAAGGCTAGAGACACAGCAGTTTCTCAGCAGCCATGCCCTCATGAACTCACAGTCCAGACAATAAAATGATTAAGAAATGCATCTATAATAAATCAGAGGCAGGGAGAAAATACAGTCCAAGGAAGAGAAGGGAGCTCAGTTTCAAAAGATACATTTCTGTTGCATCCATTAGAAAATGTAATTTTTAAAAAATTTTGGATTGAATTAATTCCGTGAGATTGGTACAAGTTGTGGATGTTTCTTGCACCAAAACTATATATTTTTTTTGCTGTTTTCTTACTGTGGTTAAAGATGCATGGTATATTCTTGCCACACATGTTCTGTTGTGTTCCCTATTAACTTATTTTGTTTATTGTAGATTCTGTATTGAGAAGTTCTACTGCTCAATTAGAAAAAAAAAAGTTTATATTTCAACAGTTGCAACTCTGCAACCGTTTATAATAATATTTAAATATAACCATGAATTGAAGCATCATTTTCAGCAATCCTTTGCAAGCCTTTGGTCCACACTGCCTGAGTTCTGGTCTCAAAGTCAAGCCCTTGATGTTTATTTTTGGCCTTCAAATGCTTCTCACTGAAGTCTATAGGCAGATGCTGTAGAGGCCATGTTTTATGCGTCAGATCAGCATGTGGCACAAAGCCATCACCTGTGGGGTGCAGACAGGAAGGTGTGGTGTGGACAGGATACCCATCGCTGGGCACAGACATGGAAATGACACTGAGCTCTCCTCCCGTCAAACCACCTCCTCTTCCACCCCTTGCAGCAGAGGCTTTCTGCTCAGGTTTCTACGGTTACATAATCCTGTCCATCCCAGGGACAGTCTGTGGTTGTCATATGTGTCTCAGCCACATAAATACCTCTGTAGCCTGAAATCAGCATCTCCAGCTGGGTCCCCTGCAGGGGAACAAGGTCCAGTGGCCATCCACTCTTCTGTCCTTGGTGGGCATGTTAAGACATTGGTTGTAGAAAGCTGACTGTTTTATTGAGTTAGTTTCTGGATCCTAAAAAAAGAAGACTCTCTCCTTTGTGAGACTTGTCTCTACAGCTGAACAGAGAGACCCTAGAGGGCCACATTCTTTGAACAGCAGAATCTTCATCAATTGGGATTGAAGTCAGTTTTTTCACCACTATCCCCATAAGACCTGACAAGAACAATTAGAAGAAGAAAAGTTTCTTTGGGGACTCACAGTTTCAGAAATCTCAGTCCATAGAAGGCCAGCTCCGTTCCTCAGGGCTTGAGATGAGGCAGAACATCACAGCAGAAGAGTGTGGCAGAGGGAAGCAGCTCAGGTCATGGAACCAAGAAGCAGAGGGAAAGCTCTGCTCAACAAGGACAAAATATATACCCCAAAGGTATGCCCCCAGGGACCCACCTCCTCCAGCCAAAGTCTTCCTGCTGCAGTTACCACCCAGTTAATCCCTTCCAGGGGATTAATACACCTAATAAGTTAAGGCTGTCATGACCCAATCACTTCACCTCTGAACTTACTTGATTTGTCTCACATATAAACTTTTGGGGGACACCTAATAACTAAACCATAACAGGGATTCTATTTCTAGTGTTGGAAAACCATATCTAGTTTGTCTTAAACAATAGAGGAAATTTATTGACTCAAGTATCTTAAAACAATTTGGGGCAGAATAGCTGCACAGCCATTCAAGGGTGGGAGCAGAATTAGGCAAGTCTAGGTAAAGTTAATCCTGTATTATAGTCTTGGACAAAACATTTCCCAATGTTCAATGTCTCTACATGCAGAACAGAGTAGAATCTGACCCAAAGGTTAAGGCAGTGAAGAGGACAGACCGGTAAAAGATTGCTCCTGTTCTAGTCATCTGCAGGTCCATGAGAAGAGCTAGTATTCTTCTTCATGTCCCTGAAGAGTAACCTAGGCAACTGTTATTATTACAACCCACACACCAGAGGTGTGATCTACAGCAAAACCAACAGGGGACTAAAAATGTACTGCCCAGCTCTGTGGCCTCCCAAATTAGTGACTTTTTAAAGTCAAGTAAGAATAGTGAAGCTAAAAGATTTATTTAGGGTTTCTATGAGGAGCAAAGGGAAAGTTCTTTATGGAGCTCTCCTTTGGCCTCCATAAGCCTTACCTACCTATGGTTACCACCAATTTAATCCATATCAGTGTAATAATCCACTATTAGGTTACAGCTCTCATAAGCAAGTCATTTCATCTCTGAACATTCTTGCTTTGTCTTGCATGTGAACTTTTGGGGATGCCTCATGTCTAAACCATAATACCAGTTGGCTTGCCTTGATTCCACAAAAGACATGAGATTCTGGTATCAAAGACTGTGTCATTGGTCCCCAACATGACTTCAGGCCCAATGAGTCATGAGGAGGACTTACAGAATGCAGAATAGGGTTTACTCATAGCTCTGAATTTTTTCAGTAAAAGGACAGATAGTAAAATCAGCAAAAAGAAGAGGGTACCAGGGTGAAATGTAGGGGGACAGACACAAGCTCCTAGAGTCCTCTCCTAGTGCAATGACAAGGGACACACTTGATTCCCCCCCCCATGAGCTGTGACATCATTGTGAGGAGTCTCCAACCTGGGAAGCTTGTGAGAGCCACAGCACCCAGTGTCATTATTGGGCGCTGACCACATAGGCATCTCTTCCTGACGCGTACCTGATTTCCAAACTCTCAGAAGGAAAGCAGATGTTCAGCACAAACCATACTTGTCTGTGTTAGAGTCTGTAAACAAGTCAGGATGGCGCCTGGTATTTTGCCAGGGGGAATGGTTAATGTTAAGGTCTGTAAACAAGTCTGGATGGCGCCTGGCAAAATGCCAGAGGGAGTGGTTTGTGAAGTAATGCCAGCTCCAGCGAGCCATTAAGTGTGGAGATTCCTTATTGGTTGACTGCTGTATCTAGTTTATGTTAATTAAGATAAGCTGTGTGGAATGTATAAATACCTCTGTTGTCCTACAATAAAGGGCTCCCACTCCTGCTGTATCAACGTACACAAGTTGTTCGTCACCCCCCGGTTATTTTGCTGCAGCTGGACTGCGGCAGTCTGTACAGCTTAGGTGCAGTGAGCCATTCTTATTTGTTCTGGGGATGTTGGAAACCCTCCTGAGTTCCAAGTTCCTACATGTCAATCAAAGGCCAATGTTGCAGGCAGGCCTTCCTAAGGATGCTGGTCAGAGCTGAAATGTGGACTCCTATCTGCACAGAGACCCGAGATTCCCTCAGCACCACAAGAAGCTTCACCTTCATGCCCTGTTCCCTCATCCCTCAACTGCAAGGGGGTGAGTCAGAGGTGGGCTCAGGTGTAGGCCACTCACACTAAGGTTTGTTTCAAAGCAGAGGAAACCCAGAACAGAAATCCACAATCTCTTATAATGGGCTCTGAGCAGAGCTGGCCACGCTTCACTTAGAGGAGACCTCGTCTTTATTACATTGGAAGCAGAGAAGCCTGCCCAGTGCTCTGGATCGAGGCACTATCTCTATCTTCCAAGGCTGTTGGCTACCAACATCCTTGAAAAGATGCTCCAGGAAAAAAAAATAGCAGGTCCTTTGTTCAGAAGGTGTGCAAAGAACAGGGCTGGGGATGTAGCTCAGGAATGGAGCATTGCTTAGCAAGTACAAGACCCTGGGTTCCATCCCCAGCACCACAAAAACACAAAAGCAAAACAAAACAATACAAAAGGGAATGAGGTATGGAAATGAAAAGCAGCTGTGGAGAACTGAATTCCAATACAATCCATAGCAAAAGTCAGCCATATTGTTAGAAGAAGAAAAGATTGTTGCTTGGAGGCAAACTACAAGTTTTTATTGCAGTGGACAAATTTTTTTTACACAATGATGATAACAGCAGCCCATATTTATTGAATGATTACTACTAAAGCATTGTTCCAGCTGTTTGTATATTTTAGCTCCGCCCTTCCTAAGTGACAGAATGTCTAAAAGGTAATGACAGGTCCTATTTCATGTCCCCCGCCTCCCCATTTTGAGATGAGTTCAAACCAAGGACACTTGTCAACAAAATCCAAAACCATTGGATACGAACATGAAAAGTGCTGCCCTTAGCTAAACGTGTTTCCTTCCTTTTTTTTTTTTTTTGAAAGAGTAGTTATTAATCTAATAGGATGATTACTTCTGGAAAAAACATCTAATAGAATTACACATATATTTTCAGCTCTGCCATTTTTTTATTTTTTATTTTTTGTTAAATATTTGTGTCTCATGCCCAGAATTCTGTACCATTTCCTCCCAAAGAAGAGAGAGGAAATGGTGGGGGGTGGTGGGGGTGGTGGTGGTGGTAGCAACTTGACCTCAATTATGTTAAATTCATCAGGAGGATGGAAGTGGTGAGGAGACCACTCAAGAGATCTTCCAATGTGACAAGCCCTTCGGAGTCATGTTTTGGAACTATGCTTTCTTTTTTGCTTTTTTTTTTTTTTAAATAAAACATCCTTTAACATTTTTTTTTAATTTTTCCCTAACGGTGTACCCCAATCTATAAATGTGCCATTCCTGTTTGCACTCGTAATGTATCAACGCTATTTGTTAATACTGTTTTCTCTTCATCCATGACTTTAACAAGCACATCTTGAGCACCTCCTATTTTTCAAGGACTCTGCTGAGCTCTAGAGGTGCTGCAGGGAACAAAGCAAAGGCTTACAATATGCAGCTATCATTCCATGGCAGGGGTGCACCAGGGTCAGGACAGTACCCAAGTCACCCTCCCATAATGCAACAAGGGCCCCAAAATACTTGGTAATAAAAAGAAATAGTATTCTGATGCTCCCCTCACACACATTTTTCCTTTTTTTCCTTTTTATTGGTACTGAGGATAAAACCCCAGGTCTTGTGCATGCCAGGCAATCACTCCACCATTGAGTTACATCCCTAGCCCTGATGGAGTTTTGTATTGTTGTTGTTGTTGTTGTTTTTTAAGAAACCAAAATCAATGCAAAAAAAAATCATGGTAAATAAGAAATCAAAACTGAAATATATAACACAATATGAAGGAGTAATTTGCAATGAAGATGATAAAGGAAAAGAGGGGCCTGTGTGACAGAGGAGTGTTCTTTTAGATGGAAAGGTTAGGGACAATCTCTTTGAGAATGGGACCCACAAATAGAGTGCTAAGTCACTCCAGAGAGTTAGCTGGGCAAGCATTTAGGATTAAGAGATCATTCCCAAGAAGGATCAGAAATTCTTGTGCTCAGGAAGAGAAGAGGGAGGTCCATGTGGCTGGGACTTAGTGAGGGAAAGAAGAGTGGCCAAGATGACTTAGGAATGGTAGCCAGGGCCAGTTTATGGAAGGCCTTATGTATTCCTGGAATATTCTATTTCCCTAAGACTAGGAATTAAAAGTAATTTTTGTTTTAGATTATCTCATTAATGATCTAATTTTCCACTTTATTTTAACTTTCTTTTGGAACCTCTCCTAAGTGGGACCTGAAAGGATAACTGTAAAATTTCTTAAAAATCCTAATATATAGTTTTTTTAAAAAAAATTCTCACTCTTGAAATGAGTTACTTACTCTACATATCTTATCTTTCCAGACAGAATGTTAAACTGCAGCTATGGGAAAGAATCTAAATAGAAATCTCAGGAAATCAAACTCCTAATGGTTTAGATGTCTAAAATATGTGGGAACAAGTGTCTCAGCATTTAAAGTACTTCATAGCTGGAGCCGGTGAATGGAATACAAACATGTATACCATGTGAAACTTCTTATTTGTGCTAACAAATATTTTTCTGGGGAGTAAGTCTAAAGTTCTTATCAAGTTATCAAACAGATCCAATGGCTCCAAAAAGTTAAGAAACACTGTTTTTACCTACAATGATTACCATTAGGATTTCTGGAAATGGTACATGTGCTCCTACTGCTCAACCTTGTCTATTTAATCTCCTAATGTATTAGCCTTTTCACTGCTATGACCATAAGACCTGACAAGAACAACTAGAAGTGGAAAAGTTTATTTGGGGCTCACTGTTTCAGAGATCTCAGTCCATAGACAGCGGGCTCCATTCCTCAGGGCCAGAGGTGAGGCAGAACAGCATGGTGGAAGAGAGTGACAGAGTGAAGCCGCTAGGGACATGACACCAGAAAGCAGAAAGTGAGCTCTGCTCAACAAGAACAAAATATATACTGCAAAGGCATGCCCCCAGGGACCTGCCTCCTCCAGCCACAGCCTACCTGCCTACAGTGACCGCCCAATTAATCCCTATCAGGAGATTAATGCATGGATTAGGATAAGACTCTCATAACCTAATCATTTCACCTCTGAATTTTCTTTCCCTCCCTCCCTCCCTTCCTTCCTTCCATACTGGTTATTAAACCCAGGGTGCTTAACCACGGAGCTAAATCCCCAGCCCTTTTTATATTTTATTTAGAGTCAGGGTCTGGAGAAATTGCTTAGAGACTTGCTAAATTGCCTGAGCCTCCTGAGCCACTGGGATTAGAGCTGTGCGCCTCACCTCTGAACTTTCTTGTGTTCACACACGCTTTTGGGAGACACCTAGTATGCAAACTATAACACCTAGTAAAGTTTGTAACTTCTAGATAACAACAACTCCATGTTAAGAGGATATAGCACAAGAATTCCAACTCATGACCACAACAGACCAGTGTCCGTCTCCTTTAGAGCAGTTAGGATGAGACTTCTGATCCCTGACCAGGCAGTGCCAGGGCCCCTTTGCCAGCTGAAGCAGCCATAGAGGATGGATGTCGCCCCTCGGCCACCCTTAAGGTTAAGGAAAAGTCTCTGCAGTGGGGGTTGACACAGGGGTTTAGGATAAAGAAATAGATACACTGACTTTTAAAGGAAATTTCCACAAGCTATTGAGACGCAGAAAGTACAGCTGTAAATCTTGAGCAACATACCCTTGTCCACCTTCTGGTGAAACAAGGGGAATGCGCAAGAAAAGAGAAAATTGGTGCAAAATTGTGCAGTGCTGTCCTGCCTTCTCTTCTAGTCCAGCCCCTAACACTGCATGGTTATAAATACTAACACCAGCCACTGGGTTGCTTGCTGTCTGTCCCTGTAGAGATGGCCTGTATTCTCCCTTGAGCACGTATTCCTTACTTTACCCCTAGGGCATCTCATCTCTCTTTTGAGATTGTTCCCCCCCGCACACACACACACACTGAATGTGTCTCTACTTTCCTAAATAAAACTCAGTCTATACTTTTGGAAGGGGGGTTGGTTGGGACACCAGTGTTACTAGAGGATGATGATTTTTCTCCAACATGATTTCATTCTTCCCTTTGCTTGAAATCCACAGCTTGACAGGATCCAGGGATCCTTGTAAGGAAATTCCCTCTGTTGGTTCTTTCAACAAAGGCAGGGGAAGAGGAGGCTGACAATAATCACACCTGCTTCCTGGTGTGACTGGGAGGCTCAAGTCACGTGCCTGACATGGCAGCCAACTCTCAGCGGAAAATTGTTGCTACTGATGACACTAAACCACACAAATTTTAGATGTGTGTAAAAAACAAGGTTGCCTAGAGACCCGTATTCTAAAAGAGGAAACCAAGGAGGAAGAAAGAGCTCCAGCTGCCTGAGCTTTACTGATGTGTGGCTGACATGGTATTGTGGCGCTTCTCCAGCCAGCCCTGCAATGGAAGCTGGGGTCATCCTGGGGACATAGCTTGATGCTGCCGGGAGCCATGATAGATGATGCTCAAGTCTTTCAGTGCAAGGATTTGGATAGAACTCATGAGCCAAGAGTTCTATATTTCTCAGTTTTAGAGTCTACCCAAACCCCTCTGGAATGAGTCTGTACATTTTTTTTGTTTGTTTATTGAGGAAATATATCTTGAGTATGCCAATTACCCTTCTAGTCACTGGGGTACAGATGGGAATAACACAAAGTCCATGTTCTCATGCAGATTGCCACTAAATATGTCATAAATCAACGAGACACCAACTGATGAAAGCGTTTTTCTTTTAATTCTCATTCACTACAGTAACAGATACCCCAAGCCTACAGACCTTGAAGTTTTTACATCCACATATTTTCTGGAGACCTGTTGCAAAGTGGGGACTATTTGCAACATTTTTGCATTTCGTTAAGGTCAACATGGTAAATTCCAATATGGAGGTCTGCCTTATGACAGTGGACACACGTTCCAGTAATGTATAATTTAAGGAATAAACAAATGATAAGAGCGTGACAGCAATCATGGATTCTGGCAGAAGTTTGGTAAGGGATTTGTGTTCTCAATACAAATATAATAGAGCCTGTCTCTTGGGGAGGGTGTGTGTGTGTGTGTGTGTGTGTGTGTGCGCGCGCGCGCGCGCATGTGTTTATAAGAATAGAGGTATTGTTTGTCAATTATATCTGCTTCTTGTTAAATCAATAAAATAGAGTGGGTTTTAAGAGACTGCGAATGAAATGCATGTAGGCACCCACTGTATGCTCAGTTGCATCATATACCACATATGATACACATGGCAATGCCAGAAAGTTCCAGGCCTTCAAGGGTTGTACTTCCCCAGAATCTGCTGTAACATCACAGTTTCTCGAGGCAACCAGGTCACAGCTGTCGCTCAATAAAGACACCTTCTTTTAAAAACACCAATGTTAACTGAAACGAAAGGAACGTCTCCTTGCGCCCTTGGTAGCCCGGTCCTCCAGGCGCTCGTGGTCACACACGCTGGGGTGGCACGCCCGAGTCACCGTCCTCGCCGCCCTCCCGCAGCCAACTGGCAGCAGAAATACAGGGAACCCCATTGGGTAAAGAGGAAGGGACCAGCCGCGGCCCCTCCGTGCTCTGGCCGCGCACGCCGCGGGGCCACGCCCAGCTCCCCCGGCGGTGCTCTCCAGGGCAACCAGCGCTTGGCAACCGCTCCCCGGCACCGCGCGACGGCCACACCCCATCCACCTCGCCCCGCCCCGCGTCGCTGCGTCACGATGGGCGTGTGCGTCATCGTGGCGCGCCGGAAGTGATTGACGTTTTCATCGGAGACCCCGGAAGTGGCGTCGTCAGTGTTTGGTTGCTGGCGCTGACTCCGGCGTTGCGATGGGTTGCGACGGGGGTACAATCCCCAAGCGGCATGAACTGGTCAAGGGGCCGAAGAAGGTTGAGAAGGTAAGCGGTGTGGGCCCGGAGGCGCCCGCGAGCGGTGGGACTCTCGGAAGGGCCTGGGAGCGAGAGGAGGTTGACGGGGAGCCGCGGGTTCCAGACCGCCAGCTGCACTCCTGTGCCCTGTTTGGGGGATTCAGAACTGACAGCAGCATTGAAAGTAGCACTTATTGAGTGCTTGCTGTTTCCCTTCACTGGGCAGTACGCCAACTTACGGTGTCGTGATTCTCACAGCAGCCCAACGAGTACGTGCTGTCATCCCCATTTTTAGACGTGGCAGTTGAGGCTCAAATGGAAAAGGTGCAGAGCTAAGTGGCAGAGTCAGGATTCCAATCCCATCTGCGGTTAGTAGCGATGATTCACATAGCCACTATTTATTGAGCTTTGTATGCATTTACTTCGTTTCCTCAGAAGTCTTCCCTAGCTGTACCCTTACCCCATAAAATCAAGTCCTTCTCTTTTGAACTATTTTATCACACTGAATTATGCGTCTATGATTGATTTACGTCCTCCCCCACCACACTGTGAACCCCTCGTGACCGCAACTGCACCCATTTGTCCTCTAGAGCTAACAGAGTTTCTGGTAAGTTACTATTTTGAATACCTGAGTGAGTGAAAAAATAATCTAATTTTCACAAGTATTGGAGCAAATTATATGTAATAATTGTTATGCTAATTATGGGGAATTTGAGTCCTGGGAAGTTAATGAAAGTGATTACAGTCACATACTAGTAGGTAGTGAAGCGAAGATTATCATTCAGTTATTCAAGATTTCAAAAGTCAGCATTCGTAATTACTTTTCTTTGATATCATAAGATATGTAAATTGTGTACCACAGTGCCTGGCACATGTGTAGACTCCTTATATTCTTATTCAGAATTCAGAGAAGTTTTTTAAAAGATAAATCCCATATGTCAATATGGTATTTGAAACACGCTGGTGGGTCCCATCATGTTCAGAATAAAATCCTATCAAACTGTGTGAACAGACCCCTGCCTATTTTTTACCTCATTGGCCCTCTCCATTCGTTTTCATTTTGTTTCAGCTACACAGGGCTTTTTTCCTCAGCCCAGGTTATTGCATTACCCTGAAAGCTTCTTCACTAGGTAATGACATCATTTGTTTCTTCATCCAGTTCTTTGCTAAGCAGTCACCTCAGTCTTCTAGCTGAACTACTCTTAGTTTCCAGCCACTCTCTATCCTCCTCTAGTGCTTTACTTTTCTTTATTAGGACTTGTCACTGTAGTTCCTTGTTTATTGTCTCTCTCCCATTTGGACAGGTCCTTGCATGTTTTACCTCTGTATCATGTTTGTCACATAACAGACAATAAATAAGTGTTGACTGTGAGAATGAGTGAATACCTAGGAGGATGAAGTGTGCCCTCTTGTCATACCTACATGTACATGGGCTGATGCTTCGTAGTTAACATTCATGGGAGATTTGGTGCTTCCTCCAAAAAAAAAAATCAGTTCACTTTTATTTTCATGTGCCCAGAAGCAAAGAGGAGGAGGTTCATCAGAGGCTTTACAAGAAACACATTTCGGTGGGTAAGAAAGAAGAAAGGGTGATCTGAAACAACAGGAATGCTCAGGCAGACTAATTTCTATTATCCCCACTCATGCAATAAACATTTGCCATATATACTGTTCTAAGCTCTTGGGATGGATACAGCAAAGAACAAGTCAGTCCACCCCTTATGGAGCTTACATTTCAAATCCATACTGTGAAGTAATAAGAAATATATACATGGATGCTTCCCTGGTTTCTGACACAGAGCTCCAAATTTTCCTGGGTAATAGGAGTGTCACTTGTTTTCATATGGTAACTTGATGAGCTCCTGGTTTGGGATTGGTCACCAGAAAGACCAAGCCATGATTGGAAACTTGTAACTTTCACATAGTTCTGCCCCACATACTCCAGGAAAGAGAGAAGCTGGAGATTAAGTTAGTAATAGGCTTGCCTATGTGATGAAGTCTCCATAAAAAAAAAAAAAAAAAAGGAAAAAGAAAAACCTCTGAAATGAGTTTGGAGAGCTTCTAGGTTGCTGAACATATCCATAGGAACAGCTCCTGGCTTGAGACCTTTTCACACCTCACTCTCTATACCTCTTTATCTGGCTGATCATTTGTATCCTCTGATGCATCTTTCTAATAAAACTGCCTTCCTGGGTTCTCTGAGCCTCCACAGGTTATCAGAACTGAGTGGGGTAGAGTAACCTCAGATTTACAACAGTTGGTCAGAAGCATAGGTAACAACGTGGACTTGTGATTAGCATCTAAAGCGAGAAGGGCAGTCTTGTGGGACTGAGCTATTAACCTGTGGAATCTGAGGCTAGATTCAGGTAGACACTGTCAGACTTGAGTTGAATGGTAGGCCACCCAAGCAGGGTAGAGGAATCAGTTGGGAGTGAAGGAAACCTCACACATTTGATACTAGAACCTCTGGAAGTATTGAGTATTGTGAATGAAAATATATAAGAAAACAGTTGGTCTTTTTACACCGATGTGTGATGATTTATTACTTGTGGTGTGTTTGATCTGGTCCAAAACATTGCTCTAATTTGGGACCTTGCCCTAAAAAGAAGAGAGGCTTTGGAAAAACATTTTTCAGCAATTTGGAGGGAGGGACCAATTTTTTAAGTCCCTGGAGAAGGAGTAATTTGTCACTTTTCTTCCTGTTCCCAACTTTCCAAAATGTTTTTTGAATCAGTAAAGGACTGTGGCTGAAGTGGGTAGGGGATCCAGATGGTAGATCCTAGGCTTGCTGAACATGGCTTTTTGAATCTGTGAAAAATGTAGATCTACTTCATTATGCAGATCTCTCTCTCTTTGGGATTTTCCAGTATGAATATTGATTAAAAAAAACTATTTAAGCTGCCAGATCTGTGGCTTTTGAATCCGAGGAATGAATAGAATAGCAATTACAATAGTTTTTGTTTTAAATAATAGAGTGGTGATTAAGAACATGGTATTTATGGGTGCGGAGGTACATGGCTGTAGTCCCAACTACTTGGGAGGTGGAAGAAGGAGGATCTCTTGATCCCAGGCATTCAAGGCCAGCCTGGGCAAATTGTGAGACCCCATCTCAAAAAAAAAAAAAAAAAGGCTGGCACAATGGCACAGCCCTGTGATCCCAGCAGATCTGATTGGGAGGCTGAGACCAAAGAATCATGAGTTTAAAGCCAGCCTCAGCAAAATCGAGGCACTAAGCAACTCAATGAGACCCTGTCTCTAAATAAAATACAAAATAGGGCTGGGGAGGTGGCTCAGTGGTTGAGTGGCCTTGAGTTCAATCTCTGGTACAAAGAGGGAAAAAAAAAAGTGGTGTCTAGAGCCAGTTGGCCTGGGTTATTATCCTAGTTTCTTCATTTGCTGCATGACCTTGAACATGTCACCTAACTTGGTGCCTTGGTTTCTTATCTCCAGTGGTGAAAATACTAACTTGTAGGGCTTTTGTGAGGATTATAAGGGCTTGTCATGGCAACTGCTTAGCACAGTGCCTGGAACACAGGGCACTTAGGCAGTAGCTGCTGCAAATTTTAAAAATTAATTCCAGAGGATTTTTTTCTTTCTCTGTTGTCTCTAAATCATGCTGTTCTGTTACAGTATTTCAGTTTGCTGTTGTAAGAGTAAGGACAAGTGGGCCTTGGAGTATCATAGAGGTAAAAATGTAGTTTGAGGGCTATGGAGGGCTTTATGTCCTAGTTTTCAGATCATGGATGTTTTACTCCATTTTCTGTTGTTATAACAGAATACTCTCAAGATTGAGTAATTTATAAAAGAATTATTTTTTGTATTTCTTGGAGGTGGGAAGTCCAGTTGTCAAGTGACTGCATTTGGTAAGTCTCTTTCTTGCTCATGGATACTCTTAGCAGAGTCCTGAGGTGGCCCAGTGTTGCATTCCATGACTAAACACTCAAGGTCACTCCAGGTGAACTGGGCTGTACGAAATAACCACACAGCACACAGAAATACCTTTCTCTTTGGGTCCTGTGCAGACTCCTCCGACCTTAGAAGTCTATGTATGTATGGCGGGGAGCGGCCGGGGGGAGAGAAACAGAGAGAGCTGAACCCTTTTATTGGGGAGAAGCCATTCAAATGAGGCAAGAGGTCAGGTTTCAAGTGGTTGAGTCTAGCTTCATGATGTCTGCTGTCAGCAGGTTGACTGACATCTAGAAAGGCTACGTCTAACAGAGAGCAGGAGAAGGGGACACACAAAGGGAGTTTCCATGGAACATTCTATCCCGAACAGGGCAAAAGGGTAGGATTACAAAGGAAACAGGTGAGTGTAACTCAACCCTAGGGGCATGCCCCTCAAAGAGAACCTCCTTGCTATCTGAGGGGTGGGGGAGACCAAGTCATGAGTCATGGCACTACCGTTCCAGGCTACGATGATTTTTCAGATCTGTGTGGTACATCAGGACTAAAGGCATGGTCACTCAATGTGGCTCCCCATAGCCCAGGACACTATATACCAAGAGAGATGATACAAGAGACAGAGCCAAAACTGGCCTTTATAACAGATCCACTCTCATAATAACTTACTAACCCATCATTCATCCATGAATGGATTAAAATATATTCACTAGGGCAGAGTCTTCATGACCTAATCACTTCTGAAAAGATCCCACCTGGTTCCACCTCTTTTTTTTTTTTTTTTTAAAGAGAGAGTGAAAGGGGGAGAGAGAGAATTTTTTTAATATTTATTTTTTTAGTTTTCAGCAGACACAACATCTTTGTTTGTATGTGGTGCTGAGGATCGAACCCGGGCCGCACGCATGCCAAGCGAGCACGCTACCGCTTGAGCCACATCCCCAGCCTGGTTCTGGTTCTACCTCTTAATACCTTTCAATGGGGATTATAATTTAAACATGAGTCTGTGTGTGTGTGTGTGAGAGAGAGAGAGAGAGAGATTTTATTAGTGCTTTATAATTTATTCAGAATAGTGGGATTCATTGGAATATATACATACATGCACATATCATAATTTGGTCACTTACCTTGCTTAGTACCTCTCCTTTCCTTCTCTTCTTCCCTTCTCCAATCCCATTCTCTGTTCCACTGTTTTCCATTCTGGGTTTTTAAAAAATATTTTTAGTTATACTTGGACGCAGTGTCTTTATTTTGTTTATTTACTTTTATGTAGTGCTGAGGATCGAACCCAGTGCCTCACATGTGGGAGGCAAGCGCTTTACCATTGAGCCATAGCCTAGCCACCTTCCCTTCTGTTTTCATGAAATCCCCCCGCCTCCCTCCACCTTCTATGTATGAGAGAAAACATACAACCTTTGACTTTCTGAGTCTGGCTTATTTCACTTAACATGATATTCTCTGGCTAAATCCATTTTCCTGCAGATGACATAATTTCATTCTTATGGCTGCATAAAACTTCATGTATATATGCCACATTTTCTTTATCCTTTTATCTGCTATTGGATGCAGAGGCTGATTCCATAATTTGGCTATTGTGAATTGTGCTCCTTTAAACATAGGTATGTGACTATCACTATAGTATACTGACTATAGTTCTTTTGGATAAATACTGAGGAGTCGTATAGCAGGGTCATATGATGGTCCCATTCCTAGTCTTTTGAGGCATCTCCATACTGGTTTCCATAATGGCTCTACAATTTGCAGTCCCACCAACAATGTATAAGTGTTCCTTTTCCCACACATCCGTACCAGTATTTATTATTTGTATTTTTGATGAATGCCATTCTAAATGGAGTGAGATAAAATCTCAGTGGAGTTTTTAATTTGCGTTTTCCTGATTGCTGGGGATTCAACATGAGTTCTGATGGAGACATTCAAACCATAGCAGTGGATAAATAGATTAATAAGCAAAAACTACTTGTTTTTGTTCAACTGGTGATTATGTAAAAAATTACATAGTCTTTGTACTGAACCTTTTTTTAAAAAAATGTCTGTGTTCTCAGTTTTTAGTCTCTAAATTCTGCTACTGCTTTGGAGTCTTTCCAATTGTAGAAATTTATCTGTGCTGGTTGTTTTTTTCCACATGGTCTTTCCAGTGTACTTTTGAGATGAAAATATTAATATTTGTTACTTGCATAAACAGTATAATGATGTGATGTAAACTTTCTTGTATCGTGTTTAGATAGACCTTTATTTGACATAGTATTAGGACTTTTAAAGTCCCATTTCATGTTCTTTAATTTAAAAAAATCATTATCTTTGATTTAAAAATGAGAACATAGTGTGGCATTATTAAATGGACTTTCATATGTGGAACCATCTCTCCTGTGACTTTTAGAGGTGATGTTAACTCAGAGGGTTTCTGTTTTCTTTTGCCAGGTTGACAAAGATGCTGAATTAGTGGCCCAGTGGAACTATTGTACTCTAAGTCAGGAGATACTGAAACGACCAGTAGTTGCCTGTGAACTTGGCAGGTATGGTTTCTTGCTTCATCAAGATGAGTTTATTCAATGATTTTTGAGGAACACTTCATTATATAAATGTTCTCGAATAGTGAAATAGGAATTAACCCAAGCAAACTTACGAGGCATAGGTTATCATTCCCTGTCGCTGAACATAATTCTGCAATCTCCTAATCAATATGATATATTCAAACCATGATTTGAAAACTCAAGGACCAAGTTATAATTATGCTAAATCATAAACAGAAAGCCCAAAGGAGCCTTGTGAGGTGGAGAATGGGGAAAACTGGAGAGATCATATCCTATAAAGGAGGAGCTGCTACTCAGTTCCAGCCAATTTTTATAGTTCGAGAACATGGGTCTAGTCATTGTAAGCTTCTGATTTTTATTTTTGAAGATAAGTTGAAAATATGTACTTTTATACTAAATCTTACAATTTCTATAATTCTTATTTGGGTTATATTCAACCCTTAAGAATTCCAGTTTGCCATCCTTGACTTGTGTTTCTTTTTAAACTCTGATAGTAGTTGAAACATGGTGAAATATACAATATACTTTTTGGTAATGCAGAGCATTTCCTTTATCAAATGTAATGCTTTTGGGATTGCACTAAATTTGTTCTTCTTTTGTTGGTTTTCTTGAAAGTTGATTATTGCCCTCATAGTTTGACTAGTTCTTATTCTTGCAGACTTTATAACAAAGATGCCGTCATTGAGTTTCTTTTGGACAAATCTGCTGAAAAGGCTCTTGGGAAGGCAGCATCTCACATTAAAAGCATTAAGGTAAGAAGAGTGACTCTGGAGTGCTCCTGGGGTCTCAGTGTAACGAGGTTTATTTTATGGAATTCATGTACATGAGAGTAAATTTAGAAATTTGAGAATATAGTCACAACCCACCATTACAATATGGCTGTTCTTGGGAGGTCTTGTAAATCTCAAGTCTGGAGTCCCCCCCCTCCCCCGCCTCCATGTACTTTCTGTCTTAGAAATCTGTTGTGCTTTCATGTGAATGAAAATCCTTTGAAAATTCTTAATGTCTTGTAAACTTGTTGGGAAGCATTATTTTTGTAATTAAGATTCAGGTATTTGAAGGCTAGGGATATAGTTCAGAAGCAGAGCCCTTGATAACATGCATGAAGTCTTGGGTTTGATTCTCAGCACTGAAAAAAAAAGGACTCAGTGACTTGAATTTTATTATTATTATTATTATTTTTTTTTAAATATTTTTTTAGTTGTAGTTGGACACAATATCCTCATTTATTTTTATATGGTTCTGAGGATCAAACCCAGTGCCTCACATGTTCACGGCAGGCACTCTACCACTGAGCTACAGCCCCAGCCCCAGCGACTTGAATTTTAAATTTGGAATCTATTTTCATACAATGACAAAATTTTCAAAGTATGTGTGTTTTTATATTAAAAGTTCAGCTATATATTAGAAGTTCTGATTGGCAAGTTAAAATTCTTCCATTATAGTGGATAAACAAGTTTTTTAGTAAAGGAATTTGTTGAAAGGACAGAATCATTCAAATTTGGTCCATAGAGGAAATCAGACAATTAAGAATTTATTATACCCCTCATCTCAAAAAGACTTCCTTTAGTTCACATGGCTAGTCTGTAAGATGCTTAAATTAGAACTCCTTCCCCTGACTCCCAGTCTGTCTTTAGGATTTTTCTTTTTACTTTTTTTATTATGATACTAAGCTTTTCATTTGAATTCTCAGAGTGATTACAGGATATGCTCACTTTAGGCAGGTTAATAATTCTGAAATGTAGCTAATGGTGGTGCTATAGAAATTGCTGTGCTGATTTTAGTTACTCTTCTACTTTGGGAAGAGAATTAATTCCTGAAAACCCCATGGTATCACAAATTATCTTGCCTCAAAAATTCATTTATATTGAAATTAATTGATATAATTCTATACTTAAAAACAAAATGTTTAGTTTTATATATAGCTGAACCTTTAATGTAAAAACACACATACTTACATACACTCTGATTTCTTAGAGAAATCAGAGCAGCAAAGAAAAAGAATTCAAGTGAAATAATGCAGATACACAAGATTATCACTGCAGCCCACAAATACTCTGAGCAGCTCTTGCCCAGGAAGATGAGCAGTGGCTTTCCTTCTGAGGCACTTAGCTGCTCCTCAGAGTATTAAAATCAAAAGAGGAAGAAATGCCTTGAATGCTGCAGTGGAGCCGTGGCATCAAACCACCTATCAAGCTGCATTCTGGAAAGCCCGATATTGGTGTGTTGAAATACAGTATAGCAGTATTCTGTCTTAGACTCACTAGGTGCTGGCCCACAGATTTTATTGTCTCTTCAATCATTATATAAATATGGATGGTCAGTAATATGGAGCAGACTCAGCGGGAAGAGAAGTATTCCTTATTAAAGTGCAGTAATTTCTTCCTCCCTTTCTCCCTTCCTTTGAGTGCTGGGGATTAAATATAGGGCCTTATGCATGTGAGGCAAGTGCTCTACCACTAAGATACACCCTCAGTCTTCTGTGCAGTAATTTTTGGTGTGAGAAGATCCTTTTCCTTAAATACTCACAAAATAGAAATTACTCAACAAATTTACAGATGGTTTTTTAGTTAGGATGATTTGACTTATGATTTTTTGACTTTATATTGGTGCAGATAATAGACATTCAGTGGAAATCCTGCTTGGCATTTTGACTTCTGGTCTTTTCCCAGGCTAGCGATAGGTATGCGCTATCCCTGGTGGTACTGGCCAACGACATCGAGCAGCTCCCCATCTGCCTTGTGCCCATGATGGTGAAGAGCCAGTGCTCTAGTGCACTGTGTTGCTAAGCTATGGTGCTGGTTAGGGGAGGTGTGTTCAGTGCGTTTTCCCCTTACCCCGAGTTCACCAGGACATGGAGCATAATAAATGGAGCATCTGTACTTGGTAGTCTGTGAATTTTTAAAATCCTGTTTTCTATACAGTTTATGATTTAATATTTTATCTGTGATTCTTGGTGGTCAAAGGAAGCATCTATGGAAGAGAGGTTTGGCTTGGGAGGTATGAGAATAACAGTTTCTCTGTTAATTTAGGGGGTTTTTAAGGCAAAGAATGATCCATTTACCAAATGAATTCTTAGAATGTTAATGACTTTTCTCAGAATGTGACAGAACTAAAGCTTTCTGATAATCCTGCCTGGGGAGGAGACAGAGGAAACACGAAAGGCGACAGGCACGATGACCTCCAGCGAGCACGTTTCATCTGCCCCGTGGTGGGCCTGGAGATGAACGGCCGACACAGGTGAGTGGGGGCTGGCCCAATGGTGGGCCTTGCTCTCTCCCTTCCAGCCATCTTCTCTGACCACGTCTGCTTAGCTGTGCTGTCTGTGGCTCTCTGCTCTTGATAGAGGAAAACCTAAAGTAAAGTGGAACTGGAGAAATTCTCTTGGGACATAAGACCAGAGTTTGGCTATTTGGTTGTCTTTTCCTAAGGGACAGAAGGGGCAAGTTTCCCTTGAAACAACACCTATTCCTCAATGTTACTAAATGTATGCAGTGGCAAACATTGTTACGAGACTGAAGGCCCAGCTGGTAACACTAACTTGCTTTGAGTTTATTTAGCTAACACGTCCTCTGACTTGAGCCTCAGAAATCTTGGGGTTGAGATTTATATAACAAATATAAATGAACTATACATTTTCCTCATTTAAAAATAGAAACGTTGAATGGGCTAATAGGTGTCTTTGTATAAGATGTCTCACAAGCAGAATCATTAAGCCCCTTTCCCACCATATAGAAGTATCTTTAATAACAGGTAGTCCAGACTGCCCTCTGGAATCTTCTGTCTCTACATGACATATTTGAAAGGTAGCATTTTTGCCTGTTTTCATTTAGGAAAGGGAAAAGCATCTTAGTTAAGTAAAAAACTTTGTTGCTCATGAGCAGCTGCCTTTACTCTCAGGTGTCCTGGCACGGTGTGTTCATTCACATAACAAACACATCAGGACCACTTCCCATGTGCCAGGAGTATGCTGAATGTGCCAGAGAGACTGACCTCCATGCTCTGGATGGCCCAGAGCTTTGTGGACTTGGAGAGAAGTAACATATAAGGCCCAAGGAACCTTTGCTTTTGAAGATTATCTTCTTCCAATAATCTGAATTTAAACCATTTAGCGTCTGTCTTGAACCTCACTGATTGGAACGAACAAAGAAATATTCTGGGGATCCTGACTCATTTTCCTAATCTTTTCTCACTTTCATGTATTTTTTATATATGCATGTACATATGTACATACACTGAAGTGAAAGTCACATACCATAAAATTGACCACTTTAAAGTATACATGTGCTGGGGTTGTGGCTTAGTGGTAGATCACTTGCCTAGCATGCATGAGGCATTGGGTTGGATCCCCAGCACCAGATTAAAAAAAAAAAATAAAGTACACACGTAGTGTCATTTAATACATTCACACTGTCATGCAGTCACTACCTCTATCTAATTCCAAAATATTTTTTATCACCCTGGGAGAAAAATCCATACCTGCTGAGCAGCCACTCTCTGCCCCCAGCAGCTACCAGTCTGCTTTCTGTCTCAGTGTATTTACCTGTCTGTTCTGGTTATTTCATACACATAGAATCATAAAATATTATGACCTTTTATGTCTGATTTCCCACTTCTTTTTAAGAAAACTGTAGTTCAGCCCTGAAGAGGAACTTGCCAGAAGACAAAGCTTAGTGGCAGGGCTTTGAGTGGGAGCTACCTACAGCCTGTGGCTGTGACTGTGGCTCCCCTGGTTCCTTCCCTTTTCTTCTGCTGGTTAATCTCTTCTCCTTTTCTCTTCTAAGTTACTTGAGTTGTGCCTGCTTTGGCTTTTGTCCTGATTAATAGAGCTTCTGCACTAGAAAATTTTTTGATGAATTGATATACGTAATAAAGATTATACAAAGACTTAAATATACGGAGAAATAGAAATAAATTTCTAGTATAGTAAAACACTGGATCTTTGTTTAAAGAAAAGTAATTTCCTAATATGTAATAATTGATAATCATCCATAAGACTTTTTTTTCATCCTAAATAACATTTCATTAATTTACTGCCATTTTGTTTATTGGATTTTTGTCAGGGTGGTCTGCTTCTGCTACAATCCCTGGGATATTGGTGAAAATTTCTGTTGTGCATTTGTAAGGGGCTGTGTAAAGTAAAGTGTGGAAGTGCTTTCTGCTCCTCCAGTCCTACCTTTAGGGGTTATGCTGTAAGTTTTCTGGCATTTACTGTCCCCTCCTTCACATCACACCCACATCCCACTTCTCTACTCCTCTTCAAACATCCCTGTGAGTAAACACGGATTCTTCCACATGATCATGGGGTCCTGTTATGCATATTTTGTAATCTCTTCTTTTTCCACTTCCCTGTCTGATCTGAACATGTTTCATGGCCTGGAATACCAGTTTGCTTTACTCTTAATAGTTCTGTGGGTATTCATCCTTAATTTAACTATTCATTCCCCACTGATGAGTACTGGAGTGGTTTCCTTCTCTTCTCTGTTACAGACAGTACCGTACTTCACTGTGTGACACAAATACGTTTCAACATTTGTGTACTTGGGACATGTTTCTGTACAAGCACATTTCTTTATTCTCTTTTTTCACGGTATTGGGAGTTGAACCCAGTGCCTTTGCATGTTCTAAGTGAGTGCTCTACCATGAAGCCACACCCCAGCCCTGGAAGAAATTTTTAAAGTGATTCTTTAGTTGCTATGACCAAATTATCTTCCTGAAAAGTTGTGCCCACCTACCAGCAAATGTACCTGTGTCCTCAGATGGTTTCCACTGAATATCCTTTAATTCGTTAACCATCGCCTGATAATATTACATATTGTGAATTTGAAATGTGTTTCCTTAACATTTGACGTTAACCATTTTTTCATGTTCTTTTCTTAATATTTCTTTTGTGAATTTAATATTTCTTTTTTGTGTTAATGCCCTTTTCTCAGTTTTCTATTGTACTTTTATTGCTTGTTAAGAGCCCTTCAAATAGTAATAAAATAAGCTCTGAACCTCATATATAGTTAAAACATCTTCTCCCTTAGTGCCTATTTTGTCTTTTAATGTGTTTATGGTTTTAGTTTCAATTTTTTAAAAAAATTTTGGACATACTTCTTTTAATAGGATAAATTTATCTTTGTGATTCTTGTCGTTGTGTAAATGAAAAGCTAATTGATAATGTAATCACTAATTTTTAGTTCTTGTCTAAGCTATTCTCCATGTTGGACTCTTTCTCTAGGTTTTGCTTCCTTCGATGCTGTGGTTGTGTGTTTTCCGAACGTGCCTTGAAAGAGATAAAAGCAGAAGTTTGCCACACAGTGAGTTCTTGCTATATTCTACTTACTCCCTTTAGTAGCTGAGGAAATCAGATGTTTGAGGTCTCTCCCTCTGCTTTTCATTTATGGATCCTTAAATTCTTTCTGAAACAGATCTGATAAGTTGCTTCTCTGCTTAAAACTCTGCTGTGTCTCTTTTTTTTTTTTTTGGTGAAAGTACAGACTCACCAGCTTCTTGTGACCTGATGTAACCAGCCTGTGCAGGTCAGCTCTGGGCTGTTCCTGGATGTGCCACTCTCTCCTGGGCCTGCATTCCCTCTACTCTGACCTGCCAGCCTGGAGAGGCCCTGCTCCCCCTGAGCCTTGGATTCAGTTCTTACTTCCGTGGTGAATCTTTGTTGCTAGTCCTCTTTCCACTTTCCTTGGTACTGTGTTACTCCACTGACCTCATCATGATGCAATGTGTATTTATGTGTGTGTTTTTGGACCATGAATTTTTGAAGGTGGGAACAAAATGGGTTCATTTTCTGATCTCCGGGGCTTGTTCCCTCTAGGGCATATCCTCCACAAACACTCACATGAATGAGCAAATGCCTTGGTGTGACCGCTAGCCTTCTCAGCTCACACAAAGGAAATACTTATGATGTTGCTTCTATAGAGTTGTGTTACCAAAGCCCCAAACCCCCATGTCTTTGGTGTTCTTCTGGCCTTGGAAAGCCTGGCATTTAGTTTGGTGTTATGGATGCCTGCAGCTTCTGACTGTACACCTGTATTAACTGGATTTCATTAGACCTGTATTATTTCCCCATGTTGTGGATGATTCTCGGCCAGTAGCTTTCATGAAGCACTTGTCATGGGGGCAGCCATGCCCTAGGTACCTATTAGTGGCATATTCTGGAAGAAAAAAATCCTTGAGGGTCCTGCCCTTGGGCATCCCACTCCAGCTGGAGAGAGAGACACTCAATAAAGGAGCAAGACTGTATGGGCTGTGATGGATGCTTAGAAGGAAGCATTCAAGGCAGTGACGGGGAGAGACTGCACTAGTGGAGGTCAGGAAGGCATCTCTGGAGGTTTGACCAAAACTAGAGGGAAAGAGGAGTCAGCCGTGCACACTTGAAAGCAACCTCTTCGGCAGCAGGAATAGCATGTTAGCAGCTCAGAGTGACAGAGGACTTTGCTAGTTCAGGGAATAGAAAGTATGGCCAGGGTGGAGGGCAGAAGAGGAGAAGTAGGTGAGATTGGAAGGTTAAGAGGGGTCACTTATACAGGGCCAGGGTGGCTACATTGTGTTTATGGATTTTATTCTAAGGTCACTGAAAAGCTAGAGGGCAGCTTTAACCCAGATATACTTTAGATTTAAAATTATTCCCTCTGCTAAAGAAGCTGGACATAGAAGAGGACATCTTTGGTGATTCATTTATAGAGCTCAGGCAGGTAAAAGGTAATTGGTGGTGCAGAAGTCAGTGGAGGGCATTTGGGGTGACTATGAATGAAGCCTTCATAGAATTTGGAAACTCTTATTAAGCTTTATTTTTTTTTTAAAAAAAGAATTGATTATGTAGTTTAATTGGCAGTATTTATAGTGTCTCCTGTTGGAAGACAATGTTACTAGTGTTGCAAGGGAAAACAAGATTTAGATGACAGGCCCTATGCTCAGGGAGGCTGCAGTCCTACAGGAATCATAAGTTACATGAACTATCTTGTTCCATTTTATTCTTTGAGGCCAAATTCCAACATGGTAAAGGTGTTTTTGATGTTCAGGGGCCAGAGCACTTTCTTATGGCGGTGCTCTGGTGGGAAGTGGCTACATGAATGGGTAAGCATTTGTTCCGGGCCTAGAAGGAAGAGTGTGTATGTCATGGGACCAACTCTCCAAGGAGAGCATGATTGCTAGACATAGAGATGTTGCTTTGAGGTGATCCACAGACAGGGTGTCAAACATCTCTGTAGAACATCACTGAGTGAGATGCTGATAATTTGGCAGCACTTCTGCAGACCTGCTTGGGTGAAGGAAGAAAGTCTCCTTGGTCATAGTATTTTTTATTACCTTTCTTAATATTTGCTTACTGCCTCAGAAAGAGTAAGCTTAAGCTCAGAGCCATTTCTGCCAAACTCTGCTGAGGGGAAGAGCAATGACACATCTTCTGGAGCTGCAGCAAATCATGCAGATGTCACTGAAGGGAAATAAAGCCACAGTGTCAGGAACCAAGACAAGTGTTTTCATTTTTTAGATAATGTCTGAAATATAGAGAAGTCACTGACATTAGAACAATGTCAGGAGCCTCAAGGGTATTTAGGGCATGTGTTTTCTCTACTTTTTGGCAGGCGGACTACTAGGGGTTGAACACAAGGGTGCTTGACCCTTTTTATTTTTTAAGACAGGGTCTTACTACATTGCTCGGGCTAAGTGCTGAGGCTAGCCTTGAACTTGCAATCCTCCTGCCTCAGCCCCTCACTGCTGGGATCACAGGTGTGCATGTCTGTGGTTTCACTGACATTGGACTTTTCAGCTCACTAGAAGAGATTAAAGGGTTTGAAATAGCCTTGGTCCCATGTTGGAAAACACATGGTGTGTGCACTTGATTTCAGTTAACAGGATCCAGACAGATACAGTTGCTAGGGTTTTTGTTTTGTTTTATTTTTACTGTAAACAAATCAGTAGCCAAAAAATTAATTGTATTCCCTACTGTGTTCTTCACTTCTTGTAAGAAGCAGCAGCAATTGGAGTAATTATGGGATGCTTGTTACTTAGAGCATGATCCATAGATCTGTGATATTAGCATCACCTGAGAGTTTGTTTGATTTTTTAAGAAATGCAGAATTTCAGCCCTAATTCAGACCTGTTGAAATAGAATTTGCACTTTGAGAAGATTGCCAGATGATTTGTATGCATAGTAGTAAAATGTGAAAAGTGCTGCTGAGCAGATGTTAGGGGTATGATAAGTAGTTTTTGGCTTGCTAACTTTCTGGCTTTGTATATTTGGGCTTTCTAGGGGGGTGAATGGGATTTGTGGTTGTTGTTTTAAAATAAGAAGTAAAACTATGGGTGCTGATGTTGTCTTTTTGCATTCATTTTATGAAGTAAGTGGAGTGGAAAGGGAAAGATTACTTAGAAAAGGAAATATTTTCAAAATTGGTCTCCTAATTCTAATTCCCAGACCCTGGCCTCTTCCAGGTTAAGATTTCTGCAATTTCTGTGGTCTTGATGAATGTTCAGCCTCGGGGAATCACATAATATATGGCCTTGCCAATGTATTTCAGACATTTTTTTTTTTTTTTTTTACTTATGATTTAATTTTGTCCTTTTACTTTACAAATGAGTACACATAGAGTCTGGTTCAGTATAGAGCAAGCATTGGCTTCTTCTTGGTTTGATACTAACAGGCTGCCACTTGCCTGGCCTCTTAGCCTTCCATAGTCAGAGTGGCCATCTGTCTCTCACCCTGTTCATCCATTTCCTCCCCCAAAACTCCACCAGAGCTCAGGTCCCAAGCTGCTTTGTTGCACTGTCTCTTATGTTAGTTTCTTACTTTTATAGTTTAGGAAGCTATGTTTGTGATAGTATCGGAGCTTGCAGGGCAGGGGCAGTCTGTAACCCTTCCAATGAGGGCACAGACCTCATGGAGTTGAGTGATGGCCTGGGCTCTGCAGCCAGACTGCTTGCCTGCTCCAGTGCCAGCTTCCGAGCCCAGTGATCCTGGGAAGGTTTCATTGCCTGCCTGTGCCCCAGTTTCCTGCTCTGCGAAAGCATTAGATGTTATTCTGAGTGCTGCTTCTATGATAACACATTCGATCCTCACAGTAGCCCTGGTGGTAGTTATTCTGATGTATCAGGTCACTCTTCATAGTGTATGACTGTGCTAAGGATTGACACTGAAATGGAGTGAAGGCAGTGCCTTAGGCCTGGCTCTGTCACGGTAGCCCTGCACCATACACCCATGTTTCAAGTACATTGAAAAGACTTTAAGTTTCTTTTTGTTTTTTTTAAATGTGGCTTGCATCCAGTCACTACTGAGTTTTTATAAAATGCAGAGCACATGATTATGGTGAAGCCAGGCAGTCAGAATGTCTCAGTTCGTACCTTTGAGAATGCTGTTTACCTGGAAGACTGAAGCAAAATGGTGGTGTGCTACAGGAGACTCCTGTTGTCTTTCTGGTACTGCTGATGTTTTCTGTGCGTTTTCAGGGGAAGAAATGTTCATTTAAATCAAGATCTTCCTGTTCTGTTGTTCGCTTAAATTTGGCCTGTGGTGCTTGCCTTCAGAACCTCTCTTCCTCTCCTTAGCTTCCTGCCTCTCCAGGGCTGTGATTTTATTTGTATGTGTGGGAAGGTTGTTTATTGAGGTGCTTGCAGTTTGCCTTTGAAATATGTTCACTTCTTTAGTTTCCTCCTGCTTTTCCTTTTTTAGTTGTTTTATGCTGTGTTCTTTAGTGGCTGTATACTTCAATCCTGTGTGATACCACGAACACTTTTAGAGAAAGTTTTCAACTAGTGTGTATAAAATTCTCAGTGACAGCAGCAACAATAAAACAGGGACCCTGCGAGGGAGGAGAGCTGGATCTGTGGCTGGAGGTAGTTCAGACCGTCGGTGCCTTAGGCCTGGCTCTGTCACGGTAGCCCTGCACCACACGTGTATATAGTATCTGAAGTTAAATTAATTAAAAATATAAAAGTTAAAAATCAAGATTCACTGCCTCTGTCTTTCTCACCACATTTTCATCGTCCAGCGTCCCCTACAGCTGTGGTAGTGTTGGACACTCAGGTGTTTCCACTCCACATGGACTTATTTGACCCAGAGAAATTAATGATTGGGTATTTTTCTAGGGTTCTCCAGAATAAGGTTATATTGTTCTTAGCCAATAAGGACAACTTTAGATAAACATGTTTTCATTTTCAGTGGGAGCTTGTGCGTTATTGTCTCTATACAAGAGTTTCAGGCCCTCAGAACAAGATGTGTTGCTCTTAGCTCCAGCTTGAACCTGGATCTCAGCATTTGGAGAACCCAGGTTTTCAGCAGCCATCTCCTGAAGCTGTCTGCCTCCAGATGTTTCTCCATATGTCACCACTGGTAGCTTGAGTTATTTTTTCTCTTGTGATTTCTTTCTCAAAGCTATAAAAGTGGCCTGTAATCAATAATAAAGTCTTGTCAATAGCATGTTTCTGAATTCATTTTTGGACTGGTCTTGTCCCATTCTTTCTCTTTTGGTTCGTCCTCTTGTTTCAAGTCAGGAAACAGAGTGATCCCCAAAAGAGCATCCACGCTGCTTAGTGGGTCAGTTTCGTGTTGAAACGAGTTTCCTGTTGGAAACTCCAGTGTGGTTCCACGGGGACTTCTGCCTGCCTTAGGGTCTGAAGTCGGTGCCGCCTCTCTAAGCATGTAACCACAAGTGGGTCTGAGGAGGGCTCGAATTTGTTGGCAAACAGAGAAGGTGACTTAATGATCCATGGCAGGTCTCCTAGTCCGTACACACAGGTGTCTTGGATGTAGTGGCCTACAAGAAGAAAGACGAAAACTGAGCTGCTGTTGTTTCCCCCCAGTTCACATTCACACAGAAAAGAGGCTGCGCTGCTTCTGATGGCATCTGACAGGCTCTGCGCCTTCATAAGAGTTCAGACCAATAGCATTTCCGTGATTGCTTTAGCTGAGACTTTTGTGTTGAGTTCTGAATTTAAGATGAAAAAGGAGCATTTTCATTCTTTTTGTTTGTGATTTCTAAAATGTTTGATACTTGCTTGACTGCCTTAGGTGAATACTGTGGAATCTTAGCTAGTGTGGCACAGGGAATCGAAGTAGCACTCATTTGCCTGGTAAAATCTAAATTCTGATAGGTTTTTTTTTTTGTGTGTGTGTGTACCTGAGGATTGGACCCACAGTGAGCTTATACTATACACCCTGCCCCTTTTATTTTATTTTGAGTCAAAGTATCAAAATACCAGTTGCCCAGGCTGGCCTCAAACTTGGGATTCTCCTGCCTCAGCTTCCCAAGTTGCTGGGATTACAGGTGTGCACCACCTTGCCCTACTCTATTAGGTTCTGATTCCACAACCTTCTCAGTCTTTTCCTAGGTCGTGAGTAGTTCATCAAGAAGGTGTCAGTTTTAATGATCATCGCTTTGTCTTTCATTGGTTTTGCAGAGTGAGCATGTCATGTGTAATTAAAAGGGAAATTGCATTTGGAAGCTGTGCTGATGGGATCCCTTTGAGACAAACCCTGTGGCATTTCTAGTGCCTCACACTGTGTGTGGTACCTTCTACTCTCTTGATCCTCTCGACACCACACTGATGTGGTTTCCATTTGCACCCTCAGTTTGCAGGTGAGAAGTGAGGTCTCAGCTCTGGAGCAGAGGCCTGTCCATTTGGTGACCCTGCCCTCTCACTGCTGAGCTCCTTCTTTTGCCCTTCCTATATCGGCCCAGGAAAATAGTGTTTTAAAAGGGAGAGGGGTACTGCAAACTGAAAAGTCTAATGTTGTTTATAAGATGAAATAAAATCAGAAGGAACTCTGCTTCTGCTGAGCAGAGTCTGTGTAAAGGGCCTAGAACTGGCACTTGGTAGGCATGGCACTGGTGGCAGCTACTACCATGATGAAACGTTTTTTAAGTGAAGGACTTTTGTGTGTGTGGGGGGGGTACTGGAAACAGGACCCAGGGGTGCTTTATTCCTGAGCTACATCCCTAGCCTTTAAAAAAAAAATATTCGAGACAGGATTTCATAAGTTTCCTGGACTGGTGTTGAACTTGCAATCCTCCTGAGTTGCTAGGATTTCAGGTGTGTGCCACAATGCCTGGATAACTGATAAACACTCTTGGTACGAAGTGATGGAATCTCAATAATATCTAAGTAGTTAAAAAGTCTAAGTTCAAAGATAAGCAGTGTGAAAAGCAGGACATAAATGAGCAATGAATCAGCTACCCCTTGATCATAACTTCATAACTGTTGTTTAGATGCATATGGGTTTGAACTAGAAGGAAACAGAAAAAATGGAACATTTTCAAGGTCCTGTTAATGCTGTGTAGGCAATTAAAAATAAAGGAGCTCTTGGCTGCTGGTTATTGTGGGATATTGGCATTCTGTGGCAGGGTTGAATGTGAGCTGGCCAGTGTTGTTGCCATGGGCAGGTGCACCTTGTTTGAGACCCAACTCTGCCCTTCCTGTGCATTTGGGTGTGGCTTTAGGACTAGGTGAGCCTGGGGTCGGATACTAGCGTCTACCTGAGAGTGCTTGCTTGTGAGGATGAGTGCAGGCTCCAGAAGGTACACCACCATTTCTACCCATAGTGCTTGGCCTGAGTCGGTGCTGATCTGAATGCTGCCCACATGTGGCTTTGTGATTGCTGTTCAGCCAACTAACTGAACTTGGTTTATTTTGCTTGTCTAGTCAAACCCAGGGGCCATACCCAAACAGTTTGTACCCTGAAGCCAGTGATGGTAAGAACTTTCTGAACTGTTTGCAGTTAGGGGCAGTGCTGTTGTTGAAACATTCAGGTTGCCACCATGTAAATCTTTAGCCATTACTGTATTCCTGAGCCATTACTGTATTATTGGTAGCCACAACCCTTCTTCCACCACTTGCACACCATTTTCAGGGAGCATCTAAGCCTCTTGCTTTTCTGAGCACTTAGGTACTGGTCCTAGCCACCCCTGTGGTAATGGCAGGAGTGCCTGCTTCCTAATGAAAGGCAGGCTGTTTGTCAACCTGCTGTTGTTGCGCTGTTGCCTTCTTGCCCTGTGAAGAGCTCCCCAGTTGAATCATGTCTACCCATTGAAAGATACTTCATGGAATGTTTAGGAGTGGGGCGTAGCTCACTGGTGGTGCACTTGCCCAGTGTGCACAAATTCATCCCCACCCCCACCAACAAGGCAAAAGGGAAAAATCCCAGCTCTTCTGCTGCTACTTCTCAGGAGGTGGAGGTACACAAGGCCAGAAGAATTACTTGTCTTTGAACTATTCTGACATCAAAGTTTACGTTTCCATTTACCTATAGCCCATGTATTTGGGGTCAGTCTTTTTTTTTTAATATTTATTTTTTAGTTTTCAGTGGACACAACATCTTTATTTATTTATTTATTTATTTTTATGTGGTGCTGAGGATCGAACCCAGCACCCCACGCATGCCAGGCGAGCACATTACCACTTGAGCCACATCCCCAGCCCCGGGGTCAGTTTTTTTAATAGCTAGAAAACTAACTGAACTTGGTTTATTTTGCTTGTCTAGTCAAACCCAGGGGCCATACCCAAATGCACTATTAGAACAGGTCGTCCCATCTCTGCAGTAGTTCCCCGCCTGTGGCTAGGAAACTACTCGTGGACAAACTGCAGGGCCCAAGTGTCTTTGCAGAGGGGATGCTGTGCCACAGCCACCTTCATAATAGCTTTGCTTGGGTCTTCTGCATTCTCTATTCACTACTGTTTGCAGCTCCACCTGAAGGCTGGACACCCCCTGCCATTTTCCTTTCAGAGCTCTCACAGCATTGGCATCTCTGCTGAACTCCTTGACATTGAACTGTGAGCTGCCTGTCATGCATCTTGTTCTCCCCTACACTACTGCACCTCCCAAGCAGCCATCTTGGGGGTGGGGGAATGGTGACAGTGGGCCAGAAGAGGTCCACAGGAGTCACATTCCAGTGTCTCTCTCTAGGCATCCCCCAGCCTGGTGTGCCAAGAACCCCTCTGCACCCAATCAGTTCCTTCTAGACTTTTCATGGAATAAAGGCACATGCTCCCCATCCAAAACCCGGCTTTGGGGTGTCCATCTATCCCCTCCCATGACTAAAACCTCTGGGACACCAAAGAGACGAGGAATAGATTGGGGGAGGGGGATAAACTTTGAATTACTTAAAAACGTAATAATCTCTTTTCCTTATTTCTTTTAGAAAGCATGCAGGTAAGACAAGTGTGAGGCCCGATGCTCCAGAGAGGGCATAGCAGACTATCTGTAAAAGGCCAGAGAGGACATGTTTTGGCCTTTGTGGGTCCCTACTCAGTCCTGCCCTTCACTATCATAAATAAGGTACTGCTGGGCGTGGTGGTGCACACCTATAATCCCAGTGACTTGGGAGGCTGAGGCAGGAGGATTGTAAGTTGGAGTCCAGACTATACAATTTAGTGAGACATTGTCTCAAAAAAAAAAAAAAAAAAAAAGTCTGGGATGTAGCTCAGCGGTAGAGCATTCCTGGGTTCAATCCCAGTACCAAACAAAAACAAACACACAGTAAAACAAGCACATGGGTGTGGCTTTGTTCCAGTAAAACTTTGTTTATATAAAGAAGTAGCAGGCGGTCACGCATGGCAGCAGTTGGCTCACCCCACTGTCATCAGGCACCTGCGTTATTCAGTCTTATATTCTAATGCACAGCGAACACAGGGCTCGTTTTTAGTCAGTGTTGGGTTTGAATTCTAAAAGCAGATTTTAAAAAAATTCAGATAGCTTGTGACTTTTATCTAAAAACTTATTCAGTTATAGCCCTGCTTATTCACCTCGTGAAAGTTTATCCCCATGTATGTTTAAGGATTGTACCTTTTCTGTGTGGAGCTTATGTTAAATTAAAAACTTTGTACACTTTGACACCCATGCTGTTGGGTGGCCACTGACTCCAGGTCAAGCCTGGTTGCAGTGGCCCCCACCACTGTTGAGGCAGCAGCTGTGTGATTTTTGTATGAGGTTCCATAGCCTTGCTTTGCTGGCTTTTACCTCTACATCCGTCGTGGACACTTCCTTCCTCTGCTCTCCTCTTCATGGCTCGAATGTTCCCTTCCCAGCCAGCATCTGGCGCAGCACCTGGAGCATCTAAGGAGACACAACCAGCACACACAGTGTGGACCCAGCTTCCTGAACTTTTAGTACAAGTTCTTCTGCAAGGTCATTGCCGTTCCCTCTAGATCAGGCAGTCAGTGAGAAGGACAGGGGGCAGTCCATTGTTGGCTGAGGCGCCTCGTTGGTTATGTCCTACCAGGGGCTAGCACTCGTGGGCAGGTGGTGCACCACTCTGGTGGTGATGTCAGGGCTGACCAAGGGCCGGGCTCTGCATCTGTGTGCCTGGTGTTCCTTCATCCCTTTGCCTCCCCTGTAACTCATTCATGTATGTTGGGTGCTCTTCGTGGTCATGGGGGTTCTTGGATTGTGATTGTTCTGGAACAGCCTCTCCAGTGATTTGAAATTGGGACTTGAAACAGGTATGGGATTTTAAAAGGGGTCTCGGCAGTCTCTGCCAGGTCCTTTGCACGGTGTTCTGGACTGATGAGTGTGGCTTTTTAAGCCTAAAGCCATGCTCCTGAGGAGCCAGTTGGCCATTTACAAAGAGGAAATACTTAAGTCCACTTAGAAGAGGGTGTTAGATTTCCCTCTGCCTTGGAGAACCTATCCAAAGTATTAGATTTGCAACAACAACAAAAAACAACCAGCTTTAATATTTTCCTTTTTGTGGTGCTGGGGATTGAGCCCAGGGCCTTGTGCATGCGAGGCAAGCACTCTACCAACTGAGCTTTGTCCCCAGCCCCTAATATTTTCCATTCTTAATGGCCGTTTGCACACCATTTGACCCTAATGCATCTCCAGTAGTGTTTATCAAGTGAGGGAAGAATGAAGAACTTTCCAAAAAGTTATGCTCAGCATTTTCAAAAGGCTCTGGCTGAGGTGAAGGCAAAATGCCAGGCTCCTTTCTACAGAGGGAACAAATGCAGCCATGTTTGCTTGGGAACCTGGTGGCCTTTGCTAATGTCAGACTCCTAAAACCAAAGACCTGGATTCCTCAAGCAGGCATTTACAAAGCCACAGGAAGACAGCTAAATAGAAAGCATCTTCAATTAAGAATGAGACTCCTGAGGTTGCTTCTGACCTGAGCAGACATTTGTATGGTCGGATGGCGCTTACCTTTTAGTTGATTTAAAGTCACCCAGTAGTGCTGCTCTGGGTTGTGGATGTGTTTGGACCACTGAAGCATGTCTTTTGCACGGATGTCAGTCAGTATGAACTCCACAAACTTTCTTGTGAGTATGTAGTACGCACTTCCAAAATATATGGTTAGGTTATGAGGTGGCTTGTGTTTGAATTTTTTATTTGGAGATACATGGACATTTCCTTCAGGACTGGGCTCAGGATGACTTTGACTGGCCTCGGATTTAATGTTTAGAGGATGGATTACTCCAGGAGTAATATTTTTATCATTCCATTTGCTTCTGATGTGGTATATAATTTCTTTGTTGGTTTTGATTGGAAAATCTTGTCCACAAAGATTAATGACATAGTTCCATTGAAATTTGGAGTGGACTAGATCTTTCATACAATTAATGTCTGCCTGTAGTCTTGTAAGGCCAGCATGAACCACCTTCTGTCTCTTTGAAATAAAGATGTTTTCAAAACAGTCAACCAGGCTTTGCACCACAGTCTTATACTTCTTTGAGGCCTTTTCATCGACATGAATACAATAAACATTTTGAGGTGCATAAATAGCTCTGAGAAGCTGCACAAACATGGCCAGCTCCTTGTGAATGGTTATAATATATGCCAAAGAGAAATTACCCTCTTCTGCAGACAGGGGCCTGGTTATGAAGTGCAGTCCTTGGGAAATCCTGGAGCAGTTTCCTGGTGTACGTAAATAAGCAAATATTCCAGTTGTTTGAGGGTTTTTACAGAATTTTGCGATTTGGGGAGCTGCCTCTTTCCCTTGAAATAAAGCTGAACATAGTTCATCTGGATAGAAGCCACATTCCACTGCTTCTGGAGAGGTGGGCACCTCCTCTGCTTCCTCAGGATCTGGGCTTTTTAAGTAAAGGAAAACGAAGATGCAAATTGCTACACACACGAGGAGCCCAGGTTTTGTGGCTCGAAGTTGGCTCATGTTTTGAGTTCTGAGCGCATTCTGATTACTGCAATCGGAAAGTTTTTCCTTTAAATTTCCTAAAAGAACAACAGGTAGAATTTAGAGTGTTGTAACTTTTTTTCCAACTTTATCAAAGCATACTAAAACTACATGTATTTAAAGTTCATAATTTTACCAGTGTTTTGTTTGTGACAAGGTCTCACCATGTTGCCCAGACTGGGCTCAAAGTCCTGGTCTCAGGTAACCCTCTTGCTCAGCTGGGCTGCAGCTGCACACCACCAGCTGACTAGAATAGGGCCAGTTTTTATGTATTTGAATGTCTGAGAAACCACCACCACAGTGAAGATAACAAGCGTTCTCCCCACCCCTGAGTTTTAACCCTTCCCTCTTGCCATCCCCACCTCTGAGCAGTCACTGGCAGGCTTTCTGTCTTTCTGGATTCATTTGCATATTCTAGAATTTTATGTAATTTTATAGCATGTACTTTCTCTGCCTGGTGTTTTTCACTTGTGATAATGCTGCTGAGAATCGTCCTTGTCATTGTGTTTATCCCTGTTCTTTCTTATTGCTGTATTCAATCGTATGACTGGGCGCAGTTGGTGCATTCCTCTGCTGATGGGCATTTAAGTCGTTGCCAGTTTGTGTTTCAGGGATGCTATAAGCATGGCGTACCAGCCTGTGTGGGCAGGTATTTTCGTTTTCTTGGCTAAACATCAGATGGTGCTATAGCTGGTCCACTCATCACTACGTTTGCCCCCCATGACACCCCCAGGCTGTTTTCCAGAGTGGCTGAAGCAGCAGTGTATGCGAGTCCACTTGCTTTGCATCCTGTCAGCGCTGGGTGAGATCAGGTGTTTTAATTGTAGCTGTTCTAATAAGCATGGAGTGGTGGGTCCTTGGGGTTTGACTCTGCATCTCCCTGCTGACTGAAGATGTTGAGATATTTTCAAGTGTTTTCCCCATTTATTTATGCCATTATTCTGTATTATGTTGAAACTACATCTTTTCAGTAAAGCAAATGACAAAGTAAGACAAATTTTGTGATTATAAACCTAAATCTTTTGAATTAGTTTATGAATTGTTTTAAAGGAATGCTTTACTGATTAAATACAAAATGTCTTTATCTAATGAAGTTATTTGATGATAACGTAGTTGCCTATCTTGAGCTATATGTAGGTATATAAATAGGTATAGCCATAGCAAAAAGTAATCAAAAGTCTTTTAATTAGTTAAATATTAGTGCTACCATTCTTAGAAATTTAGGGTAGGAAATTTGTCAGCTAAAATGTCATTTGAGTCATGTCTCTCTGTTCCCATAAAAAGCCACGTCTTTTTCTGTGTCCTGTTCTTCAGAAGCCTCTGTACTTTGGACGGGAGTTCTGTCCCGGAGTTGACATAATGCCTTGCCTGTCCTCTCATCATTACACGTGCTGTTCAGATTGACCAGACAGCATTTTGAATTATCCTTGAGTTCTTGACTGTGAGGCATTGAAATCAAATATATGTTGATTGTGGATTTTTAAAATGTTTTATATTTATTTTCATTGTACTGCTTCTTTCTACCCAGCATGCTTGAAAAGTAAAAAGCTGCCCCTGCCCAAATATACCAGCCAGATCATGATGTTCGATGGTGGTGCAGTAAATGTTGATTGCCCCAAATGTCAAACCTTAAAGATGTTTTATAAATTACATAGTACTTTGTAAACGTAAAACTCGGCATTTTCATGTATGGTCTCTAAAATAAACAAAGCTGTGTAATAAAATTAGAAATGGAATTTTTTAAAATGAAAGCAAAGCTTTTTACAGTGTTTAGAAACTTTGATTACAGGTAAGCCATATAGTGTAGTTTTTTGTCACATCTCTTCCTGTGTTGTAGCTGTAGTTTGTGGGGCGGGGAGGTGAAGTTTTTGTCTCTTGCCTTGGTTTTGCTCCTGTGGTAGCAGTAAGCCCCTCTGTGCAGACACATTGTCCCCACGTAGCCCTCCCTCATGTAACCCTGACCGGCCACAGGTGGCAGAGCCCAGGGGATTGGGTATTTTCAGTAGTTTATGTAATTAAATGAAGACCAGCCCCAGGGGTAGCCCGTTGTCCTTCAGGGTGGAACCTGGCTGAGTGGTTTCCTCCCTTCATAGACACAGGCAAGAAGGGGGAGCTGGTGGCGTGGGGGCTGGTTATCTCTCCTCCTCATTCTGACAGTGCAGCTTTTTACAGCTGCCTGCTTAACTCTGGCTCTGGTTCACTTTGAAATTCAGAATAGTTACCTACTGGAATGCCACCAGCAGTTTATCTTTCTGTTATTACTTCAGTGAAAGCTTTGTGAGGCAGTCAGGTCAGGTGTTGTTATGAGGTCTTTGGAGATCGCATTGCTGATGAAAATAAATAGTTCTTGCTCGCTCTTGAACATGACATCCAGGGGATAATGCGAAAATTCCAGGGTTACTCTTTGGGGCTGGCAATTTTCCCTTTTACGGTAATGGTGACTCTGTTCTGCTTTGCAAGCATTTTCTAGCTGTTCTCAGGTGTCATTTTCTCTATTGTAAAGTCAACTTTTTTATCCATAATGAAATGTGTTCATTACACCTATGACTTTCTGTCACTAAATTAATTTCCAAGAAAAGTAGGTAGTGTCTTCCAAGTGTAAGGAATATGAAATCCTAAAGAAGTATAATCTTACTGATTTTTTTGAGCCATTTTTTTTCTCCACAAAATTTAAATATCTATTTCCTTAAAGGCTTTAGAAAGAATGGACACACATTATGTATATGGAATTGACATTCGGGTTCTTTGTCCAGCCTGGGCATTTTTACCAGTCCATGTCCTGTTCCTGGGCTTTATTAAATCCCACATGGCTTCTAAATTCTTGGGCATGTGAGATCACATTGAGGCTTTTGCCACATACTGCCTTTCCTTAGGTTGTCTTTCTTAGTCCATGTGTGCTTTAGTAATCTTTGGTACCCCATAGCTGCAGCCTTTGAACAGGAGCATTGTTACAGTATTGTAACATATGTAGAATTAAATAGCTTCTAGATACCAAATAACATGAAGCTTACACAGTGGACTGAAGCCATGCCAGTCAGGAAACACTGCGGAATGCAGCCATGAGACAGGGATCAAAGCCATGGCTACAGTGGCTTAAAGGTGGAGCAAAGGTAGAGCGTGACTTTCCCCCTTTATCCAGTGCTGAATTCTGATCAGTTTCAGGAATAATTTCATTATAGTTCTCAGTGGAATTGTCCTGCATCTTGTGTTTTTGTCTAAGCACAGTATACTTCCCAGGAATCGTTTCAGAACATTTTACCTACTGTCCATGTTCATTCTGTGCTCTCCCTCCCCACTCCCAGCAAGCCTCATTAGTGGGTTTGGTGCCATGAGTCACCCCAGGGCCGTTGTTTTAGAGCAGGCATTCCAAATTTGTTGAGATGAGATTTAATTTGTTGGGAAGGCCTGTTGTGGGGGTTGGTACTGGCTCTTCATAAGCACTCACTTTTATGCTGAATTTTTTAGACTTTGTTTTTCTTTAGTCTTTTCTTTTAAAGGTAATTCCAGCAAGTAAATATGTATAATAGATGGGCATCTTTCAAGATGAACTTAAAGTATCTTGTCATATATTCTAAAATATTATTGGTTTAAGACATTAATATAAGTTTAATCAGCAGAAACAATTTATCTAATACTCAAAGTTTTTCAGATCTTTATTTAAAGAAAAAAACCCAGCAATGCTCATTATCACATTTACCTTATTGAGAACCTGATATTTGGCTTGGAGACTGGGAATATGGGCTTTGACGGCAGCCTCCTAAGCGTGCTGGGTGGGCGCAGGAGTGCCGGAGTGGTGCCATGCTGAGCCTGCCTGGCCCCAGCAGTTGCTCAGCGCTCGCCAGCCCGGGCATCTTATCAGCTCTCATTCCCTGGAGGTCTGTGTCCCTGACCACCAGAGCCTGGATCTCTCTCCATTCACTGTGCCTGTCTGAAGTGGCCAGGGCCACAGCAGTGAAAATCTGTTGTCTGTTACTTTTGTCATTTTTAGGCTCAGAATAATGTACAGAGCACCCTGGACAGGAACACTTTTCCTTGAGCCATTTGGGTTTACTGTGTTAGTTGGGCTTGTTTTGAAATCAAAAACTGTTCAGCTATCCAGGAAAATGGAAGTCTTAATCACAGCAAGCTTGCTCCTTTGACATGTAAAGAAGAAAACTTCATTTTAGGATATCCACTCAGAATGACCACAACCAATAAAACATTCTGTTTTCATTACTGGCACAAAATGAGAACTGAAGATTTGGACATGGCCTGGAGGTTGACTTAGTTATTACCTCCCTGTAAGGAATTAACAGGTGGTGGCATTTTAAATTTAAAAATCTAGTTGATCTCATACTGTGAAAATATTCCACTTTTATTTTCTTTGGCTTAAACAAAAAGTAAGACTGTTTTTCAAAAGATGCCCACAAATTTGCATTTGAAATGTTAGTCAAAGTCTAGTCTTTTATTTAAAGCCATAAAGGGAATGAAGAAAAACACACTTTTACTTCAGAGGTAAATTACGCTTAACCTGTACACTCCTGGATCTGCGAAGTTAAAGATACTCACCAGAAGATGCTGCTGCCTTCTGCGAAGTGGGGATCCTGGCAGGGCCGCCGCCACCTCTTCTCCTCCCTGTGGCTTCCTGAGCAGTGGCTCCCGCTCTGGAGTTGCCTGGCAGGCCGTGCTGCCTTTGCATCCCCAGAGAGTTGTATTCTCATTGATTCTGTCATGTAGATGGAAAAATAGTTGTTGTTCTTGCTTCTCCATTTCTTCAAGACTGGGTCACCTGCTGAAAAAACAAAACCAGGTAAGAGAAGACCCTGCTCTGATGAAGGGCAGCAGGGCAAGCTTGCATCCTGGAAACTGTTAGGTGAGATCCTGGCATTCATGGGTCAGATGTGTTAAATGCTTTTAAAAATAGGAGGCAAAAATTTAGTACTAATCTGACCCCTTTTCATTAGAGTGATGAATAAAGTCATTTAAAAATCTCACATCTT